GGAATCTAATAAGACTTAAATAAATGGGACACTCTGTACTGATATATTGGCATATTCAATATAAAAAGATATCAGATCTTTCTTGCAGTGATACACAGATTTGATGCAACCCTTATCAAAATGCTAGCAAGAAAACTTTATAGATACAATTTTTCCCTTATATATGAAGAGGCAATGGAAATAGAATAGTTAAAACATTTTAAAAAGAAGAAGTAAGTTCAGCAATCAGTCTTCCCATTTTCAAGACTTACATAACTTATAGTAATCAAGACCATATATTACTGGCAAAGCGAAAGCTCAGTGGTACAGTAGAAGGAAATGTGGAAATGGTCCCCCACAAATCATGACAAACTTATTTCTGACAAAGGTGCAAGGCATTTCACAGATCCTTTTAAACAAATGGTGCTGGAGCAATAGGATATCTATAGGCTAAAAAATGTACCTCAACCTAAGTTTCATACCTTATACAAAAATTAACTCAAATTGGGTAACAGACTTAACTGAAGATATATGACCATAAGACTTCCAGAAATAAGCCAGAGATCTTTGGGATCGAGGGCCAGGCAAGGAATTGTTTGACTCGACACCAGATGCTCTAGCCTGAAAATGGAAAACTGATAAATTGGACCACATCAAAATTAAAACTTTTCTTCCGCAAAGACCCTATTAAAAGGATGACACGGTTAAATCGCAGATGGGGAGAAAATGTTTATAAAAATCACATATCTGACAGAGTACTCGTATCTTGGTATACAGAGAACTCTCAGAACTCAGGTGAATCCAATATCCTAAACACTGGCAGAATGATTATTTTTCAAGAAACTTCATTTCTCCAATGGTTCTCAACCAGAAGGGATTTTACTCTTCCCCCTGAATATTTAGCCATGTTTGGATATATTTTTGGTTGTCACTGGGGAGGGGAGATGTCTGTATGTATGCTAGAGATGATGTTAAATATCCATCCCACAATGTGCAGACTTCCCCTCCCACGGCAGAAAATTATGTGACTCACAGTGTTAGCATTGTTTCTGTTACGAGCCATGTGATACCTGCTAGGGAGTGCAAGTCAAAACCACAATGAGCTATTACCTCACACCTGTTAGAAAGGCAAGAAACAACACGTGAGGTCCTGGGGAAAAGGGGGCCTTCCTATGCTGTCAGCGGGGATGTAAAAGGATGCCCCCATTTTACATTTACAAGGCGGTGGTGGTGATTTCTCATAAAACTAAGACTAGAGATGCCATATATCCAGCTGTCCCATTTCTGGGTATTTGAAGAACACAAGAAGACCATATATGTAGGTGCTCCCCTATATTCATTGCAGCATTATTTGTAATAGCAAGATAGGGAAACAATCTAAGTATCCAATGGTAGATGAATGGATCAAAAATGTGTATGTATATGCAGTAGAATATTACTCAGCTAGTAGTAGTATGAAATCTTGTCACTGTGACAACATGGATGGACCTAGAGGCGTAAGTGGTGTAAGTCAGATGGGAATGATAGATACCATATGCCTTCACATTATGTGGAATACAAAGAAACAGCAAAGGAAGAAACAAAAGAAAATAAAGACAAATCCTTAGATACGGAAAACAGACTGGTGGTTAGCAGAGAAGAGAGCGAGTTGGGAGGTGGGTGAAATGGGTAAAGGTGATGGATGGAAACGAGGCTTTTTATGACAATCGTGATGTAGTGTTTTGTAGATGTAGAGTCACAGTGCTGTGCTCCTGCTTTTATATAGTACTATAAACCAATTTTACCTTAGTAAAAATTTATTAAAAAAAAAAAAGAAACCATGTAATAGCCTAGATCCTTTACAGACTCAAAAGCAAGTGGCCATTCATGTAATATTCCCAATTTTTTAATCTTACTCATTGATTTTGAAATTAACATTTACTTTCTGTAGTTTTCTTCATTGGTAAACTGCTGATCTTTCTGCCAGCAAATGCTTGGGTGATTATAGTGTGTGAATTTGACAGATTGATTGTTTTCTTCCATTGTTTTTTATTAACAGACTGCAGCAGAAGTTGGAATAATTGAGAGTATTCAGCTAAGAAATTTCATGTGTCATTCCATGCTTGGACCCTTTAATTTGGTTCTAATGTCAACTTTGTCGTTGGCAACAATGGAAGTGAGTATTTGAGAATTGCTGACAATGAGCAGTACTTTGATTTTTTTTTTTTTTTTTTTTTTTTTAAATTTTTTTTTTTTTTATAGAGGCATGCTTATTTATTGTTTGCTGGTTTGTTTGTTTGTTTTGTTAACATGCACTGGGTACAGTCAGAAGCGCGGGAGGATGAGAGATCACCAGAGCCAGAGCGGGGAGCAGAGCAGGCAGAAGGACCGAAGTACACTGCTGAGGGAGCAGCGGGGGCAGAGGTCTGCACGCCATGTGGACCCTCCTCTGGTGGCCGGGGAGCAGCCGGGATCGAACCGGCGCCGCAGAGGCCGCGGGCAGCTTCGCAACAGCGCTCAACGCTGCGCCACCGGGAGGCCCAGCAGTACTTGATTTTAAATGCATTAACTTTTGAAATAGATGACAGTGCTGATGAATCTAAGTTTCACCTCAACAACTTACAACCATGAAGCTGCCAGTTTGCAGTTTAAGAAAATGAGTTAACTCTACATTCATTATTTGTGCAAGCAGGGTAAACATTTTCTACTTATTCTTTGGAATAAAGCATTACCTTGCAGGTCACAACCATAGAAAAGTAGACACACTAGCCACACGGGGGTTGACACACCTGTGTCTTACCACTTTTAAGTGCTGTAGTAGAGCATAAAGAGCCATAGGAATCCAGCCATGAAGGAACTAATCCTCGCTGTTGTGGCAGTGAAAGCTCTAAAACAGGAGGTAGTTGTGCTGGTATTTAAATGAAATTTTAGATTTTCTGGTTCTGATTAGGGAAGAAGAAACTTAGGTGTCACAGGTAAAGAGTGCTCTTCTGCAAAGGTTTGAGAGATAGAAGCAGACATGTAGAGAGCAGCCTCAGAGGGTGTTGCAGTGGACATGCTGCGGAGGTGCAGAAGCTGTCACAGGGGAGTCAGGTTGTAGGTGATAACATTGAGTATCTTGTATGCTGTGATAGAGATTTGGGGATTTTATTCAGAAGTTAGAAGGGAACCATTTAAATTTTTTGAGTGAAGGAATGGCACGGTCAGTATTTTTTAAGCAAACTGATTACATTGTGGAGAAAGGACCAGATAGGCAGCTTTTGTGGTAGGCCAGCCAGGCCGGAGGTGTTGCCGCTTGACTGCTTGACTGATGGTGCACAGGGAGAGGAGGCTGGCCCTGGTCTACCGCTGGTGACAGTGCTAGGACATGAAACCAGGTGTGTGTCGCTCCACGGTATGCGTAGTAGTTGCTCTTTGTTTTCCCCATTCTGTTATTTAGTCAAGAGGAAAATGTTTTTCCAGAGGATGGATAAAAGGGTCAGTGCCACAGGGAGTCACGTGGAACAGACACAATGGGCTGGTTGCTCTGCATTTAGGTCTTTTTTTTTTCTTTAACTTTTGTAACTGAGTTTGCTGATAAAACTTTAAAAGTAATGTGGGGGAGTCATGAACATGGTAAAGAAGAAAAATGAGAAGTAGAATAGGGATTTGAACGGAAATCAATTGGGCTGTCGGGTGTGTTGGTTCAGCTGGGGTATGCTTGGAAGATCATGAACTGGTAAGAGCTGACTGAGTTGGCTGATCATAGAGATGAGAAAATGGTGACCATATTTTGGGTAGTTGTTAGAGATTTTGGAATTTCAGCTTGTGATATCTTCTGCCCCTTAGGGAAGACAAAGTACACTTTTCAAAGAGCTAGAAAATGAATATTCAGAGTAGTGATGATAATTGACACAATGTTATATAAGATATTTGATTTTGGTTACTTTGTCATCTTTAAGTTAATTCATTCAACAAATATGTGAGTGCCTGTTAACGGTCTGATTTTGAAGTTGAGGCATTGACTGAAACACAGCATTCATGGTCTGTGGAGCTTGCCCTGGAGAGTTAAAAATAGATTTTGACTTCTGAGAATTTATGAGAAAACCAAATTGTAATTACATTAGACTATAATAAAATTAGTTGAATTAAGTGTATATGTAAGTAGATAAATTCATTCAATAGGCTAATGGATCAAGATAATACAGTGAGAGTTTTAGACTGGGAAGATGTCAGCTATTTCTTCCATTTCCGTATTAGTGGCACACATTTGATTCCTGAAATGTACTAATTTTTTTCTAAAAGCATTGGATAATTATTTCATGATATGTACAACTTTAAGTTTGCTGCTTTGGCACTGGAAGAAAATTATAATTGAGTTATAACATTATTTCAGGGTTAGACTAATTTTACATTTTCATTTAGAAATCTTTCTACCTGAAATTGTGGAAGTCAGCCTTTTCTCTCTAATGATGGTGATTTCTTCAACCTGTTTCTTTAGGTGGGAAGAGTGCAGTACTCACAGCTCTCATAGTTGGTCTTGGTGGAAAAGCAGTTGCTACTAATAGAGGATCGTCTCTAAAAGGTTTTGTGAAAGATGGCCAAAAGTAAGTGTTTACTTCCTATATGTGTTTTTCAATTCTTCAGTCAGAGACAAGCACTTTAGATGCCCAGTGTGTGCAAATATTGCGGGAAGTGAATTGGCCCCGGGGCCTGGAGCATATGTGTCATTGCTTTCCATTGCTTTCGCCTGCCCCTTGTTGCCAGCTCGGCCCACTGTTCTTGTTATCCTCTCCAGACAGGCGGCTTGTGTAATTGTTGCCTGTGCCTGCCCACTGATACTCTCGCATCTCTTACCTTTCTAGGAGAAGGCCAGTGATAAGTCTGTGTACTTCCATTTAAAGGAATATTTATAACATTGTATTTTTAACTTCTTCAAAGCCTTATCAGGTCTTCTGCAGTATGCTCTGGGCAAAAATATAGTGAGTGGCCAGGCAAGGTGTCCCTGCACAGCATTCCTGCCTCCAGCATTCTTTAGAATTCCAAAGAAGTATTCCTCTCTCTGACTCCGATTTTTATACCCTCTACCAGGTGGTTTGCCAGTGAGTTTGTTTTGCGCACCACAATCCCAAGTCTGTTTGTGGTCCGTCTTGACCCCTGGGAATGGACATCTATCTGCCCTCTTTATCTTTACTTTTGCGTTTCTTTTTGTTGTCTCTTGCCTTCACATAACTACATATTGTCCAGTTTGCATTATATAGACTCATGGCCTTTTCCCATTAACACCTATCTTTTCAGGCTGATTCTTTGTTATTTTTTAATACCACTCCACATAACTTTGAAGGGATTTTTGTTTCTAGTAACTAGATGTTCTAAATCCATCATGCTTGCTCCAGTGTGAGGCTGCACCCACTGCTCATTTCTCCCAAATGCCAAGAGCCCAGAACGTCACCAACTCTGATAATTTACAGTGATGTCTTCTTTTTTTTCTCATATAATAGACTTTCCTTCTGCTCAGTGTCATAGAGTCATTTGACTCTTCCTTATTTTATTACTAAAATAATTAGTGACTGACCATGAATCAGGACTTCAGGCTTATATAACTCTCAGAATCCTTAGGAATCATAACCCTCAGCCGGGTTCCAAGTTAACTCAGGAGGAGGACTCAGAAATATGCACAGAAAATTATTTCCCATGCTACATGACCTTGCAAAGAACTATTTGGTAACAATTCTGCAGCTATTTCCTGGCTCTGCTTATATTTGGGCCCCAGCCCAGCAAGGTCTTCTCCCCCAGTCCCCAACCAAAATTATGTCTGTAGCCAAAATTAGTTAGTTTAGTCTTTTTTTCTAACGTCTTTTTTTTTTTTTCTCCATGGAGGATCTGGGAAATAGGACAGAGGTGCGGGGGGTGAGGATTCATCAGAGACAGAGCGGGGGGCAGAACAGGTAGATCTACTGAAATACACTGCTGAGGGGAGCAGTGGGCAAGACAGGAGAGTGTGCTGTGGGTCAGCTCCTTGGCTGGGGATCAGACTTGTGCTGCAGCTTTGATAGTGCCGAGACTTAACCCCTACACCACCAGGGAGGCCCAGTTTAGTCATTTTAAGTTAATGATCTTAACTCTGTGTGAGTTTCTCATACTTAACTGCCTATTCCTTAGTTGTCTTAAACAGTCATCTGGTCTGCCTAGCTACATAACACATTGATCTTTTAAATATCTTAGTCTCAAATAAATACTTTTATTTTCCACTAGATTAGTACCTGAAAGCACAAATTTCTCTCTGAAACTTGTCCTCAGAATACCTTTACAAAGAAAAGACCAACTTAAATCAACAACTTTGCGAGCACTGCTGCATATAGATGGGAACATGAATATATTTTAAACAGAGATAATAACAGTTAGGCTCAATCTTTTAACTAACCTTATCTGAAAAAGTATAAACAGCTTTTCCTAACTCATTACTGTTCCTCTTATTATTTCCTGCCTTACTTAAAGCACTTGATATTTATAAAATTCTTTTCATTTTATAGTCTCTGATTCTGTCATCACTGTTTTACAGAATCAGCTCATTGAGCCTTTCAGTTAATTACATCCCCCCTATTTGTGACAGGTGGATTTTTGATCCCCTTTTTGGGGATGAGAGGGGAGTTTCAGATCTTGGAGATGATTTCCTAATTTGGTGAGAGAACTGTGGCTTGGGGCCCTTTACCTGTTGGTTATCCACCAGCCCTTTGCAGTGTTTCTGTGATGATGAATGACTTCTAATATTTCTACTGTTATGAAAACCTTTCTCAGTGACCCACAGTCTCATGCTCCCTGCTGTTCATGCTCCCTGCTTAAACACACTCATGCACTCTTCCCTCCCTTGTCTTTCCCAAAACTAGTATTGGTGATGGGGTCTTAGCACCAGCCCACATCAGCTGAGGCCTTGAAAGAGTGGATTAGGGAGGGATGAAAACTCATGTTGCTTCTGTATGTTCCTGATTTATTTAGCTAAGGCTACAGAACTTAACTGCAGATGAACTGGTCTCCCAGAGAAGGAGCAGATTTGCATCATATTTTTACAAGGCATTTTATATTCCTTGCCCCTCATTCCCGTTAGTGTCATTTCCATCTGGCACATAGGTTCTTCCTGAGTGAAGAAAGAAGCCACATTCTCTTGTGGATCTACTTGTTTGTCATTCTGCAAGAACTTTCTCCATAGTCTCTCTTCACTTGAGGGCTTCAGCGTCAGCCGCAGAAGTGAGAGGTGGGGAGACAATAGTGAGCGCCCAGCTCCGTTATGTCTGACTACCTGAGCCGGACTTCTCAACAGTTATTATTATAAGACTTTTTTTCTTAAACCTTAAGTTTTTGAGTAACTTTCCTTTCTTAACTTATTAAATTCTTACAGCAACAGGATACTACTACCCCTGAAGGTCTCGATATACTTAGTCTAAGTGTGATAATCCAGAAAGCAAATATAATAATCATTTTACTTTTTGAATGTTTTCATGAGGTATATTTACTTAATACTAGGTAATTATATGAGTTAATGAAGTAAAATATCTTTTGTTCCATAATGTAGGCTGACTGCCCTAGCCTATCATACTTTAGTTAGTGGTTTTCAATTTGACCATTAATGAGAATCATTTTGGAAAACTTTTAAAAACCCCATTTATTATAACTTTTCAGGAGCATATATGTCTCAATTAGGTATTTCTGATTAAACACTTGCATACACGCTAACCCACTCAAGATGGCTTTGAGAAGAAGCTTTATTATAAAGATGCAAAGAAGCTGCCAGGAGGAAGTCAGCTGGGTCTCATGAGGGATGGGAATTGAGAGACCTCAGAACCAAGTTCTCCTGTCTCAGGGTCTTTCCTTTTTTGTGTCTCTTGCTTCTCCTGTGTTGTGGTCTCTAGGCCTCTCTTCCCTCCCTGCCATTGGTCTGTGCTGCAGCTCTTCCTCTACACCTCCCCCGGCCCAGCCTCTTTATGTAATTGTGCTTGAGTTATGCTCTCCTCTCTCCCCTCCTTAAGAGGTGTGAGCTGTGTGAATGTTTCTCTCATAATCTGAAGTATGTGAGCTCTATCTTACTGTTTACCCGAGTGTGTGTTACTCGGTGTCTTTGTGCAAGCATTTATGTCTTCCCTTCTTAGTCTGTAGAACTGTGTACGTAAGGAAGTGTTCTTGTGTTCTGTCTTTAATTCACTGCCAGTTTTCTGTGGATATGTGTCTGTTGGTCTGTATTTGTGGGTATGTGTCTGTTGGTCTGTATTCCCTAAACTGTAGTTTAGGGAATCACTACTTTTCTTCTTGGTTGTGTCTTAATTTGAGTTTGTTTTAAACGTTTTGCACTTTGGAATAATTTCAGTTTTATAGAAATGTAGCAAGGGTAATGCAGTTTCCTTTGTACCCTTTGTCCTACTAAGGTACTTTCATCAAAGCTATTTAGTTATCACTGAGCGAATATTATTGACTAAATTACAGACCTTATTTGGATTTTACCAGTTCTTCTGGTTTATCATTTAGTGTCCTATTTTTATAGCTCAGTTCCTGGGGGTTAGACGGGGGGTTGATGTGGCTGCTAAGCCCTCTGTCTGCTAGGGCACTTGCGCAGGAGCGAGCATGGGCAGCGCTGAGGAGACACTTCAGTGTATCTGGTTTAGTATCAGTGACAGTGAACGTCCATCTTGGTGTTTTTTCCTCCTTTTCTGCAATGGGAACAGTTTTGGAATATGATTACAAAATCGAAAACAATTTGTTCTAGCAAAGATGTCATTTAATTACCAATTAAGGCAGTTTTATAATAAAAGATTATCTTGAAAGATAATCCTAACAGCTAGAGAAATATTGTGTTTATGTTTAAACAATGCATTTGAAGTATGTGTTCATTAATGTCTGTCTTAACATTTTTTGGTTCTTTTACAAGTCTTATTTTAACAGAAGCTAAGAGAAGAGAAATACTGTTTTTCCCCCATAATACATTAAAATGTCTTGACTATCGACTTTAAACATCTTTAAATTTTTAACAATTCTGTTGTAATATCAACAAAGCTTTAAGGAATTTTGAGTTTAAGTTTACGTTTCTTCATATTAAATACTTTCCCTTTTTTATTGACAGTTAATTGAGAAATTAAAGTTGCCTCCTTTGATTTAATCCTCTTGGAGGATATTATTATTTCACTGTAATTCTTCATCATTCTTGAGGGCCTGCTGCCAGCATGATGCTTCATTATAAAATTCAGAGTAGCCAGGCAGTCTGCTATTGATTTCCTCTTAAAGTAAAATGTGTGACCCACATGATCTGGTACAACCAAAACATAAATGGTTTTTGTGTAAACGTGGCATTTTTATTACAAATAGAATAGTCAAGTTTTTTTAATTAAGCTTCTCTTATTCTCAACTTTTATTTTTTTTCCTGGATGTGACGATCTTTAACATTATTCTTCAGTAACCAGTCAGCCATTAGCTTCTGGTATAAAATTAATTTTCAAATTAACCAATTACTAGGTTTTAAACACCTAGTAATTAAGTGTTCCATCATTTGACTTAGTTTGACTTTATTCTTTTAGCTCAGCAGATATCTCAATAACATTGAGGAACAGGGGTGATGATGCCTATCGAGCAAATGTGTATGGTGACTCCATAATTGTGCAACAACACATCAGCATGGATGGAAGTCGATCTTACAAACTAAAAAGTCAAACAGGTTTGCTATGAATTTCTTTCCATTTCATATATTAGTAAAGACCCAGTTAAACAGAGTTAAGTCATTGTGCTCATAATCACTGAAAGGATATATCTTCTCTTGAAGCCTCTTAGGTTTGGTTGGATGCAAATGGGTGTACGTACACATTTATACATACATACATGTGTATACATACATATATACACATGCGTAGTTGTTTAATTGCAGGACATTCTACAGCAAAACCATGGATTAACAGAAATTGGGTCTTTGTGAAATTGGCTATGCCAGTTTCTGTTCACAGGCAGACCTTCTTTTATCCCTGTAGTTTCTCTAACACATGGAAAGAGATAGTTAACCAAAGGTGGAAAAGCACAGAAAGGAGGAGGAGGTGAACGTTAATTTACCAAAGAGAGAGATGAAAAGGAGAAGAAAACTCTGCCTGTGTGCTGCCCCCTCCTCTGTGTCCCTGGTGGTGATTAGTCTGTCTCCCCAGCCCTCAGGAGTATGTCCTCAATGCTGCCTTTCTTGATGACATAATGAAATCCGACTGGTACTTATAAGTAATTGCTCCTTTCCCCCCATGTATATTGTCCTAGAAACAGTCTGGTCATTTTATATGTTTCTCATAACTAGGCACCGTGGTTTCTACTAGGAAAGAAGAACTGATTGCAATTCTTGATCATTTTAACATACAGGTAATTGCTAAATTTGTGCTTCAGGCTGATTAATGCAACTGTTTGGTTTGTGTGTGTGTGTGATTTCATCTGTGCTGTGTAAAGAATTATAATGGCCTCGAGTAAATTTGACCACAGGAAGAATAGGTGTACCTCTTGTTAGAGAAGTTCTTTAAAACTTATTAATTCAACAATAATTTTTAATACATAACTTTAATTCAATAGAGCAATCTGTCAAAAACACCAAGTGTATAATTGGTAGTGCTAGAATTTATGTTAATAGTCTTTAAAGTTTACTGTCTGTTGTCCTAGACAGAATAGCATCATAGTTACCTAAACTCAGTGATTGGATTCTTGTAGAAAGGAAATTTATTCTAGAAGGATAAAGCATTTCTTTATGTATTTCAGATTTACTGACCAGGCTTAAGTCCTTCCTGCGAAGATATTTTAACTGAATAATTGGAAATAGGGCACATATAGACTTGTAACATTAGCCTGGAATTGTCATTAGAGATCATCTACTCCAGGCCATTTATTTCTATCTCTGTTTTATGATAGCTTCATGAATCAGTAACAAAAAATGGAAAAATTAAAGAAATGCTGTAAGAAAAATGAACAGTATTTGTAATCATAATTCTAATTAGAAATAACCGGGCAGGACTTCTGTTTTTACCTGGTGAAAACAACTTGCCCAAAGCTACACGACAAGTTAGAGATAGTCCAGCCAAGAACCCAAGTCAGCTGCCTCCCTTGCTGGGAGCTCTGTTATCTGATGGTACCAGTTGCTTAGGGGTGCTTTATGCTTGTGCCTCCATGTAACGGCAGAATATTTAATTTTGACTATAGTTATTTATTTTAGTATCATGAAATATTGAAGCATTTTTTCTCTTCATTAAGAATTTCTAATTATTTTCTACAATTTACCCTAACGCTTTTTAACATTTAGCTAGTACTTAACCCTCTTGATGCCACCCATAGGTCAATTATTCTAATTGTATTTTAGTTCATTTCTTTTTGAGGCATTAAAGTGAAATGTTTTTAATTAACCTTTTTTGTTTTTTTCAGGTGGATAATCCAGTTTCTGTTTTAACACAAGAGATGAGCAAACAGTTTTTGCAGTCTAAAAATGAGGGCGACAAATACAAAGTAAATATAAAATTACCCAGAAGAATACATTTCTAGATATCTACATAGAAACATTATTCTCGCTCACATGGTCAATATTGGGTACTTTTCAAGACACCTATTTGTGAAACATAATGTCGGGATTAATTTAAGAAACTGTTAAGTAAGATGGGAGTATAATTTTCTTGGTAAATCTTTGCTTTCACATTTGGACTTAAAATTTTGGGAGATATTAGATTATTATTTTCCAAAAATTAATCTTTTAAGAAATGTAAGGATCCAAGGGAATGATTGGCCAACATATGTAGTAACTTTTAAGCCTTAAATTATTTAAAACTTACAAAGTGAACAAAGTATTCAACTATAGCTAAAACTTAACTCTATACTTTTTTATTGTTTTAGTGTTTGCTATTTTAAAAATTTAAGATGCGGGCCTCCTCGGTGGCGCGGTGGCACAGCGGTTGAGCGCTGGGTTGCGAAGCTGCCCGCAGCCTCTGCAGCGCCCATTCGATCCCCAGCTGCTCCCCGGCCACCGGAGGAGGGTCCCACATGGCACGCAGACCTCTCCTGCCGCCCGCTGCTCCCCTCAGCAGTGTACTTCAGTCCTTCTGCCTGCTCTGCTCCCTGCTCTGGCTCTGGTGAATTCTCTCACCCTCCCGTGCTTCTGACTGTACCCAGTGCTTGTATAAATAAATAAATAAATCTTAAAAAAAAAATAAAAATTTAAGATGTGCTGAGATCAAAAATGTGGCTGTTTTCTGTTTTCATATTTGCTTAAGGAATGGAAGAATCAGTAAAAATTTCAAAGAAGCATATTATACCAAAAAAGTGTTTTCTTTCATTGGGTTTTCAGAGCTTTTGCACAGGAACATGAAGATGTGAACATATAGCAGGTTAACTAAATTTGGGGGCTGAAATAAGACATGTTTTTTTTGTGTTGATATTACTTGCTTATGTCGTGTCATTTTACATAATGTGTCTGTTTTTGGAGACTAAATTGTGTTTTTTCATAGTTTCATGGAAGTTTACAAACTCTTAATTTTGTTTTTCCTGTTGTTGATACAGTTCTTCATGAAAGCAACTCAACTTGAACAAATGAAGGAAGACTATTCATACATTATGGAAACAAAAGAAAGAACAAAAGAGCAGATAAATCAAGGAGAAGAGGTTTGCCAATATTTTTCAGATCAAATTCCTGTAGTGTAGAATATAAGTCTACTTACAGTGTGGAATATAAGCTATTCCAGAAGCTCATGTCATTAGATTTAATACTCATTTGATGATTTTATTAATTATTAAGAAAAAACTTAGATTTAAAAAATTATCACTTAAATTTGAGTTTTAGAAATTAATTCCTCCTGAACCGTCCATTATCTTTGGAATGAGTGCTGTATATTCTTTGCCGAGGACATACTAATCTGGCTATAAGATAGGGAATTGAGAGTAATAGGAAACTGAATTTTGGAATTTGTTTGAAGTTGTATAGTCTTAAGCCTTTTATTCCTTTGCTCTTTGTGTAAAGACTGTTTAGCAATTTTCATAGTGCAGAAATTAGCAAAATCATTTTACTTAGTATATCAGAGAACAAAATAATTTTTTTTCACCTAAAAGGTCATTTTCCAGCAAATATTTTTTAGCGCTTTTATTAAGCAATCTATTCAAAGAAATATACTGGTAAAAAGTTTTGCCTTTTCTGTGTTAGTAAGAAATATCTTTTTTTTTTTTTTAAAGCGACTTACTGAACTCAAGCGCCAGTGTTTGGAGAAAGAAGAACGGTTTCAGAGTATTGCTGGTTTAAGTACAATGAAGACTAATTTGGAATACCTGAAGCATGAAATGGCTTGGGCAGTGGTAATTCTCATTTAGTTACTTCTCTACATGTATTTGTAGTAATATAGTATATATTTGGTTACATTTAGTCTCTTACGTGACATACAGGGTTTGGTCTATAATTTTTTAGGTAAATGAAATTGAAAAGCAATTGAATGCTATCAGAGATAATATCAAAATTGGAGAAGAACGAGCTGCTAGGCTTGACCGGAAAATGGAAGAACAGCAGGTAATTGCAGTTTCTTTAGTACAGATTTATTTTGTTTAATCTTGAGATTACTGACATTAGACTATTTATGGTTACCAAAAATTGCAGTTTCAACCTCATATTTATGTACACCTGTATCACTCAGTTGATGCTAACCTGAACTTAGGGTTTCAGGAGTTGTGGTGACATGGGTCTTCTAAGAAGGGCATTGTCTGTGGATGCCATCCGCAGCCTGAGGCTATGTAGTAGTTTCATGCATGTCGACAGCCATACTTTGTCATCCAGTAGAGATGCTGGAGCATGAAGCTTTCACTCTTGGGCTCACTAAGATTTAGAACCATGAAATAACGGAGGCATCATAGTCATTGGTGCTCAATGGCATGAGGTGTGAGAATTCAGGACTGAACACGGTGCCCAGACACAGCTGTAGCACTTTCAGGGAACTGAGATGTAGGTCCCAGAACCTAGAGGCGGAGCATGTAGAGGATAAAATATTAAGTCTGTTAAGGTAAATTTCTTCTTGAGATTTAAAAGAACGCAGGTAGAAACTGTGCTTTTTAATATTTAAATAAAAAAGCCATAGGAGTCTTCCGTGTAGGCCTAAAGGTAGAAGCAAAGGCAATAAATTTCTGTTGGAACTTTTTACCATGTAGCTCTCTACAATCAACCTGTTTTTTAAAACTGCTTTATTGAGGTATAATTCAAATGCCATACATTTCACCCATTTAAAGTATACAATTTAGGGTTGATAAATTGGGTAACAGGAGTCGATATTTTGTTGTTTGCTGGAAACTAGACTTTTGGTGGTGACCAAAATGCAATACATTCCAGATTTTGAATTGTAAGGCTATAGGCCTGAAACCTATATAATGTTATGAACCGGGATTCCTCAACCTACTAAAGACAGAGCTTCCATATGATCCAGCAATTCCACTCCTAGGTATTTACCCAAAGGACACAGAAACATTAATTCCAAAGAGCACCTGCACCCCTATGTTTATAGCAGCACTGTTTACAATAGCTAAGCTTTGGAAACAACCCAAATGCCCCAAAATAGATGACTGGATCGAGAAGATGTGGTACATATACACCATGGACTATTACTCAGCATTCAAAAAAGATAAACACATGCAATTTGCAGCAGCATGGATGGAGCTGGAAGGGATCATGCTCAGCGAAATAAGCCAGAAAGAAAAAGAAAAATACCGGATGGTCTCACTCAAAGCGGGAATCTACAAAACCTAAATAAGGGACCAGGAAAAAGAATAGCTATAAGAAAGAAAAAAATCAAAATCAACAAACAATTATGAACCAGAGACACACACACTATGGGGGGTGGGGAGAAGGGATTGGGGTCAAAATAAGGGGGTTACAATTGTATGGGGAATATAAAAATAAAATTTAAAAAATTAAAAAAATAAAAAAAATTCAGTGATTTTCAGTTTGTTCACAAGTATCTATAGTCACCACTATGGGATTTTCCTGCTGCATTGCCAGAGTAGAACTTCTGGCCGCCGTTTCTCCCCTTTATAACCTTGCCCCCCACCCCTACCCCCCCACCTCCAGTATGACTGACTCAGTTCCTTGTGCTCTACTTAATTTAGGAGTTTTGGTTCCCAGGCTTGGTTGTCATACCTTGATTTTTCCTCTCTTCCCACCAAAACCATTTTCCTTTTAAGACTTAGGACGTCAGTCTATCAAAAGTAATGGATGTGTATGTAAAACGAACAGCAATGGTTTAGCATGCATTTGTTTAGTGATCTCTGGCTTTTGTACTCCCTCTTCAGGTAGCATATGGAAGTTCAGCTCCACCTTCCTCTCACCTCAAATTTTCATTTCTAAAACAATAAATATGCTTTTCCATCTACCTCTATTGTCTTTGCTCTCATTTTTTTCTAGACCATTTTGATTAATCTTTCTAGTCTCACCTCAAATCCTACTTCTCCTTTGAAAGCATTTCTAACTTTTTCTGGCAGACTTTGAGTTCTTTCTTTGTACTTCCACAATTATAAATAGATGTTAGTATAACATTATTGCGTACAAACCATTACCAGTTTGTGTATTTGTTTCTCAACTAAATTGTATTTATCTCCCTTTAATTGTTACTTGAAGATAGTTGTTAAAGTATCTTTGCATCCCCAGAGGATAACACCTTTGTTGAATAACTAAATGTTGAATTAAAATGACAGTATTTTATAAAATTCTGTTTGCTTACTTAATGTCTTAAATTTATTTAGCATCAAATTAAGTTTGTTATTGGGATGTGAACTATGTGTAACTATTTTTTTAAATTTTTTATGTCTATTAAAGAAAAATAAACTATAACATTCCAATTATGTATTTTTTCTTGAAGGTCCGACTTAATGAAGCAGAAAAAAAGTATAAGGACATTCAGGATAAACTGGAAAAAATTAGTGAAGAGACGAATGCACGCGCACCGGAGTGTATGGCACTTAAAGCAGATGTGACTGCTAAGAAAAGGACCTATAACGAAGCTGAGGTGAGAGATTTTCCAATCTAGAGTATTAAAAACTACATGACAGAAGTAAATACTGTTCATTTATTTTTAAAAGTAGAGGTTTTATAATTAAGTAGAAATTTGTATTGCTCTCTGACTTTAAAAAAATGGAATGGCTTCATGTGGCCATTTGTGCACTTCATTTTAATGTATATTTCTGCATAAATGGACTTGAATGGGTTTTTGTTTTTTTTTTCATTTTACTAAAATGTGTAATTATTTTGTTAGGTTATATATAACCGTTCCCTGAATGAGTATAGAGCTTTAAAGAAAGATGATGAACAGCTTTGCAAAAGAATTGAAGAACTTAAAAAAAGGTAATGTAGTTACTTAGCAGTTTTCAGAGTTATTTCATTTAGTGATTAAATGATCTAAGTGAAATGGACTATTACATTTTTATATTATTGACAAAGGAATTTTGCTTCCTGCTTTTCGGATATTAAGTTTTTCATTTCACTTTTTCCATTATTATTTGCTGTTAGTACTGATCAATCTTTGGAACCTGAACGACTGGAAAGGCAAAAAAAAATATCTTGGTTAAAAGAGAGAGTAAAGGCCTTACACGATCAAGAATGCTCAGTCAATCAAGAGATCGAACAGTTTCAGCAAGCCATAGAAAAGGACAAGGAAGAGCATACCAGAATTAAGTGAGTTAATTCTCAATTAAAAATTGATAATTTTTTCAATTATTTGAAAAAAATCATGTAGTTTGCTCTTTACATTCAGAGAGAAAACAAGACTTTCTTATTTCTTCTACAGAGTAAGGAATCTTTAAAAATCATTCTCTGAAGACTCCTTATCTTTGTAGAGTTGGACAGTCTCTGGGATTCTGCTGCTCCTCACTGTTGCATCATTTTTTCCCATGCTGATTTGAGGGCCTTCTGTTTTTCTCTAATAACACAGTTATTTTAAATAAAGAAATCCACTTTTGGTTTTGAAATTAGCTGGTGACTTGTTGGTATGCAGGTATTGGGAGAAAGGCTGAATGTTTTTGTATAACCATCATGTCTGTACTGGTTTTCACTTTTATTTTTTAGGAGAGAAGAATTAGATGTGAAGCAAACCCTGAGCTATCATCAGAGGCAGCTGAAGGAACTGAAAGACAGTAAAAGTGATCGCCTTAAAAGATTTGGTCCTAATGTTCCAGCTCTTCTTGAAGCAATAGATAATGCTTACAGACGTGGGCGTTTTACCCATAAACCTGTAGGCCCTCTAGGTATTTATCACCATTTACTCATTGCATAACAAACATTAGAAATGAGTTTTTATTTTCAGGAAGGACCCCATAGACTCTAGTTTTAAAACTTACCAACAAGCTGTGTAGTTGTATGCGGACTTTAATTTGTACATAGTTTAACAAAAAATTATAGAAGCACTTCATGATTTTCCTTTTTTAAAAGTATAAAGTAATCAGAAGAAAATCAGTTTAGGAAAAGGAAAAGTGATTAAAAAATTGAATAATCTGATTCTGATTTTTTTTCCCTAAATAGAGTAAATGAAATGAACTCATTTGAATAAATTGATTAATAGGAAAATCTGATGACCTCAAGATGTAATCAAAGTAACTTTCATCACCTGAGTTTTGTGTTACCTTTATAAATGACTTTCTTAGTTTCTGTTTTAGTTGGACAAGGATATTTCTAAGTTCTCTTCAAGGGAAATTCTAAGTTCTGGGGTTATTTATATGAGAATTTAAAAAGATTAGTTGAATTCTTCCTTCCTGTCTTCTCCCCTCCCAGTTGAATTCTTCTGAGGAGCTCTCTCTAGTTCTGTACATCATTACCTGAAAATGACACTAATTTTTTTGTGATCAGTACAATATTACTATATTGAGTGTTCTAAATAATGTCTCTTTGTTTTAATGATACATACCTCTATACCATTTCAATGAATGAGGTAGTTTTTCCCCTTTAAATCTAAAATCTCAGTATTACTCGGTTCTAGAACCGATTAATCAACTCTTTGACTTGATTTTCCAAACACCATTCAGAGACTAGAGTGATAGAAACTTACATAGAAAGACCACTGTTAACTTACATTGCAGTGAGATAGTTTTTTTCGTAGTATTTGGTGACTTTTCTCAGCGCATCTAGTGAATATGTTGAGATTTCACACTCAAAGGAGATCTATAATATCATTTAAGCTCTTTTGTATGAAAATATTTTGAAGTCACTAGTGAACTGTTCTAAGGAGATTGTTAAACATTAATATTTCACGATAAGTAAGAATTGATGGGCCTTTTTATTTAAAATTTTCTTATTCAGGAGCTTGCATTCATCTTCGGGATCCTGAGCTTGCTTTGGCCATTGAATCTTGCTTAAAAGGACTTCTGCAAGCCTACTGGTGCCATAATCATGCTGATGAGTGGGTACTTCAGGAACTGATGAAAAGGTTTTACTCACCAGGGACCTCAAGGCCACAGATAATAGTTTCTGAGTTTCGGAATGAGATCTATGATGTGAGACACAGGTACGGCAACAGTTATCTAATACCATTTCTGGTTTTGCTCACTCATGTGCAGTAGGGATTAGAACAGTGTGGTGTTAACCTTATCTGCACTGCTGTTAACCTTATCTGCACTGTAAAACGTCATCAAGATACTTTAGTTTCAATATAGGCCTAATGGATGCATAGCGGAATGAGAGACACTCCCTGCCCTTGCAGTCCTTACAGGAGGTTTGTGGTGAGGAAGCCTGCAGGGAGATAGATGGAGTGTGGCGCAGAGATTATGCTAATAAGGGAGATGGTGTAGACCTCACCACTTTGAGAGTGTGACCCTCAGTGACTCTTCTTGCCCTGGCGCGTGCCTGTGCTCCTTCCTAGGCTTCTGTGCTTCCTGCAGACTGACTGGCTGGGGTCTACACTCTCCGGACTCTCCCACCACATCTTCTCCCTCTTAACCCCCGCTCCCCTCACTCCTGCTTGCATTGACTCTGCTGACATTGCTAGAGCACCCTCTCCGATTTTTGTTTTTACGTCCTGTTTAACCCTGTTGTAAAGTTATGACCCCATTTCTCCACTTCCTTTTATAGGAAAACCTGTTCACAAGAATTGTCTGTTTTAATTTCTCTCTTCCCCTTTTTTCTTGCCCCAGTCAAGCTTTAAAAACTTCATCACATGCCAAAGTAGCTCCTGTGAAGGCACCAACGACCTTGCTTTGCTTGATTCTGTGGTCAGTCCTTCTGGCTGACTTGACTACCTGCCACGTTTGGTGCATTGACATAGTTGGTCCTTTCATCCTTCCTGAAGTATTAGCTTATTTAATTCTCATGACAACATGTTTATAATATTCGTAGAATAGCGCCTCACGTATGGTGTTATGTAGAAGCTTGCCAGGAAATCAACTGATTACAGATAGGTTTTCAAGTGTTTTCAGCAATTTTCCACTGTCTTAATATCTGTTACCTGTTCGCTCACTAAAAAATATGTACAATTAAAATTTGAGAAGTTGATCCTTACGTATTTTTCTCTTTCAGAGCTGCTTATCACCCGGACTTTCCAACGGTTCTCACAGCTTTAGACATAGATAATGCAGTTGTTGCAAATAGCCTAATTGACATGCGAGGCATAGAAACAGTGCTCCTAATCAAAGTAAGACCAGATGTTCACTGTTTTTTGGAAATTTTTAAATTTTTAAGACTGAAGGTTATCTGAATTCCTGTTCCTTCTCTATCGTGGGGTTCCTGTTACGTTTCATTATTGTGCTTTTCCTTCGTAGGAGTATCTGTAGGTTAATACAGAGCCAGTTGGTTTTATATGCTTCCTTTATAATGTTCTGTTATCCTTAATAAAATAATTTCACAAATGGTACACAATGGCTTAATGTTTTTGTTCTTTCTTGATTTGCTGCCAAATTCACTTTTTATTTACCCTTAGAGATATGTGTTACTCAATTTTTAAACAAGTAATTTACTTGATATTTTATTCATTCTTTTTCTTAAGCCTTTGAGTCTGTAGACTAAATCAGTTTCCTCTTTGTGCGTGTATTTCTGTGTGCTTGTTAACATTCATTCATCTTATTTTTCATCGGTTGGCATAAGTTTGCTGAGGACAAAAAATTCAAACAGAAATCTGTAATCAAAACAAACATAGTACAGTGTTTTTTCTCATTAATAGACACCGAGAAGTTTCAGTGGTGTCAGCAATCCAACAGTGAATGAGTGAGAGAGTGTGTGTGTGTGTTGCAAGTTTATATTGTAATTATTTGTGGGGTTGGCTCTTTCATATTTTTAGAAGGATACTTGAAAGGAAGTTATGAAGTCCTCTGGTGAAGGTCTCCCCAAGGAGGTTGACTAGACTTCAGTTAAACCTAATCCCCCTTTTATTTCTTCTGTGGCTTAAATATTCCTGGACTTTCCCTACATGATTGAGTATACTAATCTTTTATGGAAATTTCTTTGCACTTCTCTTCATGGAGTAAAAGTCATTCAAAAAAATAAGATTTTATGAACTGGGCTAAAGTAAATATTTTCATGTGAAAACATACTTTAAATTGTTTTTAACTTTAGATAGAAGGCAATACTATAATCTGAAAGTAAAATATATCAGTTTGTCAAAGCAAATTTACTGTGCTTTAAAGACTCACTAGTTTTAATTCTTTGACTCTTGAAAGTTGTTTTGAAACTTTTACTTCATGGAATTATTTTATATGAATGTTTAAATAAAAATACTTTAATCATAAAGTAAATATAGGTAATACCTTGAAATTGTGGCATCAGAAATGCTTTAGAATAACTTACATGTATTTTTCCATCTGTTCTCATAGAATAATTCTGTCGCTCGTACAGTAATGCAGTCCCAAAGGCCACCCAGAAATTGTAGAGAAGCTTTTACTGCTGATGGTGATCAGGTATTTGCAGGACGTTATTACTCATCGGAAAATACAAGACCTAAATTCCTAAGCAGAGATGTGGATTCTGAAATAAGGTTGGTATCCAGTGTGACCTTACTGTGTGGGTCTCTCTTCTCTTTGGAGGTCAGTTCCTTTCATGCTACTCTATTAGTAGTTTCCATGAAAAGTTGTGAGTAAGCTGAGTGTAGCATTCTAGGTTGGCTGTTATTTTCCATCCTCACTTTGACACTCATATTCTGGACTGAGAAGACATGGTGTTCTTCGTCAGCATTGGGCAGCATTGACTGGCTGATTTGCCTATTGTTTTACTACTTGTCTACAAAGTTAGGCATCTTAAGTTAAAATGTAAATCAGTGACATCACTTTGTTCATTATTTAGTTCTGCTGATTTTGCTCATCGAAGGTACAAGTGTGCTGTTTTATATTTTGGTTCAAGTTTGTGTGATGTCTTTGGCACTTTGAGTTCCGCTTTTCTAGAAAGATGAGTCAGCACAATTATTGGGCTGTCGGAAAAGGCGTGATGCATTTTTGCATAGAAAAAAAAACATCATGACTCCTCCAGCAACTCAGTAGATTACAAATCCAGGAAAATAATCTGGAGGAGGCAGCTTAAGAGGCAAAAAAACTAGTAAGTGCACGAAAGTGATTCAGAAATATGCAAAAGAATTTTTAATACCAAAAAAAAAAAAATCATTTCCTAGCCAAACTAATTAAGTTGATGAATTGATGGCTTGAAACTGAATTAGTGACTTAGAAGCTTTTAATAAGAGCTTAGGACTTAAGTGAAAGAAATATGCGAGAAAATTGAGTAAAAATGAGTGTTCTAAATGACATGTAAGAGAAATAAAAATTTTGTTGAAATCGATTCAGGTAATATTGGTTATTTTTGTGATTATGAGTGGTGCATAAAGGCAAATAAACATGGGAGATATTGGAAGTTTCATCAATCTTAGAGCAGAAAAAAGTCAACTGAGCGGCAAACCAGTGTTGTGACACACTTTAAGTTGGCTCTGAATCTCTGACCGGCTGGGTGACAGCTCATAAATGTTTGAGTAAACCTGTGTAAAGTCACCTGCGTAATGACACATTTTTGTGTGTTGCACCATGACATTGCAATTAGGCCTTCATAATTCTTAACTGGGAAGACTGAATTATGTGATAGTCAAATGAACACAAGTGCAAATGTAAAAACATTACCCTGGTGGATGTGTCACTAGGCAGTTCACACTTTTTCTTTCAACAAAAATGCCTCGTGGGCATTTGTATTCCAAGTCTTTAAAAAAGTGTGGCATTCTGGGGAAAGAGGGTAAGTATATCTCAGCAGCAAATCACAATCTCAGATTCTAGCCTTTTAACAATAGGGGTTCAGATCTTATGTTTGCTGTTGATTATTTGACTTCCTTTTTAGCCAAAAGTGTTTGTATTAATAAGTAGTGGACAAAACTTTGTTTTAAAAGCTAAGTAAATTTGGGATTTTAAAAAATTGCTTCCCACATGATAAACATTACTGATTGAAAATATCCCACTTTCTCATGATATTTAAATGACTTTTTGTGACATCTGTTTTGACCTGAATGAATATGATAGTTATCTGATATTTGGGAGCTAAAAAATAATCCTTACTGCTTTTTTCCTAAATACAGAAAATATAAATTTTAAAACAAAAGCAGCTCATAATCCCATTTGTCCATAGTCACTGATGACCCCTTTAAAATAATTGCAATTATGGGGCCTCCCTGGTGGCACAAGGGGTTAAGACACAACCTGTGAAGCTGTCTGCAGCCTCTGCAGCATGAGTTTGATCCCTGGCCAGGGAACACCCACATGGTGAGGCAGACCTCTCCTGACTTGCCCGCTGCTCCCCTCAGCAGTGTATTTCGTCAGTCTGCCTGTTCTGTTCCCCACACTGTCTCTGGTGAATCCTCTCACCCCCCGCATCTCTGACCTGTACCCCAGCTCTTGTGTGCATAAATAAATAAATCTAAAAAAAATCTGAAAAAAATTAATTATAATTAAAGGCGCATGTGATGAAAACACTCTAGCAGTACAGAATGATATACAATAAAGCGTGAAATTCACTGCCCTTATCTTTCTTTCAAAAGTAAAGTAACAATTTAACACTATATATACTTCTAGAACACTTCATATACTTGTGCCATGTATGTATGATTTTTAAAATTAAGGTATAATGCACATGCCATAAAATCCACACTTTTTAAAGTGTACAGTTATATTCACACGGGCTTGCAGCCATCACCATTAGCCAGTTCCGTGACATTTGTGCCACGCCAAGAGGAAAGCGTGCGCACCCCATTCCCCTGGCAGAGAGAAGGTGCTCCCGAGACACCGAAGTAGCCTCTGCTGTGCTAGGCCCTTCAGAGCCTGGACATCTGCCTCCTTTACCCCACACTTCTCTCCCTTGTCCTCCTCTCCTCCCCCTCCTGCACGCACAGAGCACAGCTTTACTCACCAGCTGCATGTGTTGGGCTCTGTTCGTCACCCGTGGCTGTCTGTGTTTCTTTCCACCCTCTCTGGTTGGTCCAGATGATGAGCAGCAGCGAGGGCACAGGTCCAGGGCCACTTCTGTGTACTCACGCTTCACCTTGCACTGTGCTGCAGACATGATGCAGTGTCCTGTTCGCATTGTGATGCTGTTTATTTCCAGATTTTTTTTCTTTTTATTTGAGCCCTTCACGTCGTAATTCTGTTTCTATCTCTGCTTGTTACTGTGCACAAATGAAACTTGACTCCAGAAGATGACTTTTGAGAGCTCTTTATTTTCATGTTATTAATTCATAACCTGGTAGGAATTTAGAATGCTGATTTACCTGGATAGGGTTTTGCAAATACACTATTACAAATAAGCCTTTCTTTGTAAAGATCTAAAGTATTTGTAATATTGAGTAGTTTGAAATTATTTTTTAATCCTCTCTTCTCTATCAAGTGAATTGGAGAATGAGGTTGAAAATAAGAAAGCCCAGATAGTAAATCTTCAACAGCATTTGTCTGCCCTTGAAAAGGATATTAAACGCAATGAAGACTTTCTTAAGAGGTGCCAACTACATTATAAAGAGTTAAAGGTAAAAAAATATACATCATTTTTTTTTTCTCAACTTACCACTTCCAGGTTAATTTAAGATCCTACCAGTCATTGAGTTAGAATTCTCAAATTTTTGGACTCCAGCTCTTCATCTGCAGCCATAAAATAGCTTTCATTTATGTGGATTTTATCTATTAGTGTTTACATTATAAACATTAAAACAAAATTTAATATTAAAACAGTAAACTCATGCGAGTTACATTTTATGAATAATTACTGTATTTTTCAAAGCCAGAAAGATTTAGGAATGAGCTTGACATTTTTATGTTTTTATAAATAGTATCTAATTTAAACTTTGATTTATGTGGATATATCTATCAATATTTATACTATGAAAATAGTTTTAATTAAGACTATTCGTTTATTTTAGAATGATAAACTCATGTCAGCATAAATAGAATTTTGATGAAAAAGTCATTTTTGAAAATCGAAATGTCAAAAATGACATTTTTATAAATAATGGATTTCATCTATCAGTATTTACATTAAAAATTAATAAGAGCACGCTCTTTCTCCTTTTGCTAATAAACCTGTCATTTTAAAATGTAAAAAACAAACAAAAAATTTCAGAATATTCTAAAATAATAAACTCATGTGTTCGTGTGAATAGCATTTTAATGAAAAGTGTTTTTCAAAAACCAAAAATCTTTAGTGAGGAGATTGACATTTTTATATTTTTGTAAATGTCTACCTCTTGGCATAAGCTGCTGTAGTCAGTCTGTTGTGCTGGTACACATCCATCAAGAGACTTAACTTCCTATACACTCATTTGAAAATGGTGACTAACGTCTTAGTGTTGTTATGAAAATAGTTTTGACATCCTGGATCCCTCAAAGGAGTCTCAGAAGACACCGAGAGAGTAATTGCATTGTACTTGAGAACCCCCAGACTATAACTTGAGGTGGGTTTCAGAGAAATATTTTCTCTGTGGATTCAACATTGTCATCACATAAAATGGAAAGATGGGAGTATTTCATCTCTCTTGCATGGGCGTGAATTAGCGGGAAGAGTGATGTAGCGGACTTTTTGTGTCTCATTCAGTTACTCAGAAAACCTTCTTTAACAAAGAGAAAACTTTGTGGATTATTACTTTCTTTCCAGGGGGGTTTCTTTTTTTATTTGCTTTTCTGTTACTAAAATACAAATACTTTTTTTTTCAGATGAAAATAAGAAAAAGTATTTCTGAAATTCGGGAACTTGAGAACATAGAAGAACACCAGTCTGTGGATATTGCAACCTTGGTAAGATTTTTTTTTTTTAATCTAAATGTCACATTAAAGGATAAAACTGTCAGATAGGCTAATGGGGTCTAATCCCAGCTTTTTTTTAATACTTTTCATTGTGGGTAATTTTTACAACTGCTGTTTTCACACACTCATAGGAAAGAAACTACCTGTTGTATGACTTCAGTTGTCTCAGTAGTTTGTCCATAGAGCATGCATGATGATTTATTTTGCCTTCTCCATGAAATAAAATTTATCAAACCTTAGTTGTGCTTTTGAGTGAACCACTTAGCAAAATGTTTCCCAGAGAATATCAGGATTAATGGATATCTTTTAGTCAGTTGTTGATCTCTTTTCATCGTTTCCTTTTTTTCTCAAGTTAATTTAATATTTTTTTTAATGTTTTATTTTTTATTAATTATTTTGGGTTTCCATCCCCTCCCTCACCCCTATTTTCCCACAATTAAAAGTGTTTATGACATTCAGCTTATCTTCTTCGAGTAACAGTAAGGAGTGAGAGATGCCCAGTCTTGTAAGATGAATATGTATATTAGGTGTGTAGTCTGTACCAAGCACCGCATTTAATCCTCAGTATATAGCTGAGCAACACAGATAAGGATGCTGCACCAATGTGGCTTTGATCTAAAGAATTTGTCTTCATTTTTTATTAGTAGCCTTGTTCTCTCTTTTTCATTTTGCTTCTTTAATTTATTTTAAAAGGTATAGACTGTATTTTTACTTACTCAGCATTTGGCATATTGTCAAGCATGAGATATGTATTTATACACAGTATATTTTGAAGGAAAAGGAGAGAATTAAAATAATTTTTGATTGTAGCCTTAATAAGCACAATGCAGTTTAACCAGTCTTCTCAATATCACTCCTTATTTTTTGCCTGTTTTTTTCTACTTACCAATCATTTAGGTATGAAAATATCCAAGTCTGCTTTATATTTGTCTTTGATTTGTTTTGCTGATAGCCTGTAGTTTCTATAGGCTGTACCATTTGTACTGTTTTTTAATGTGGTAATTTAATTAATTGTATATGCTCTGTAAAATGTTACTAGGAAGATGAAGCGCAAGAAAATAAAATCAAAATGAAAATGGTTGAGAGAAATATGGAACAACAAAAAGAAAATATGGAACATCTTAAAAGTTTGAAAGTAGAAGCAGAAAACAGATATGATGCAATTAAGCTGAAAATTAATCAGCTTTCAGAGCAAGCAGATCCACTGAAGGTATTATATACATCATTGTTACCATGTTCTGTGTGTGCTTTGTTTTAATTTTATATCTATAATGTGCTCTCTAGAGACTGCCCTAGCAAAACTTATAGCTGAATGTAAACCTCCCCCATAAAAATGAGATGTGAATCATTTTTATCATTGGTTCAATTAGAATTAAACACTTCAGCTGAAATCTTTAGGAAAATAAATTGCCAGATAAGTTTCCTCAGATTATTGCTTTTAATCCCTTTTTATTTTACGGGGTTCTTCCCCTCCCTTTTTTAGAACAGGATAAGGACATCTGTCCACACTGTTCGTGAGCTTTCCTATTCTGTTTTTCCAGCTTTCCTCCAATAACTCTAGGATTAGTTGCTATAAAAACTAAACTTTACATAAAATACTATCCAAATCCTGTTTATTGGCATAACTCAAATTCCTGAATTCAGTTGCCTTTTTTTAACACATGCTTTTTGAAACCAAATTTAGGGAAATAAAATTGTTTAATAATTCTATGTATTATTGTATGAATTGTAAAATTGTTTAAAAATTGTATGAATTTCTACCTTCTTTAAAAGTATAGATATCTGTAGCTTATTCTCATTATTTTTATGAATAATGCAATTATTTTCAGAACTTCAATTCTTATTTATTAAGACACTGAGAATCAGTACTATATTTTAAGAGGAGAGGGAAATATTGATTTCATTCTAATATACCCCTCAATTTTTACATGAAAATTAACCCAATTGAATCAAAATGTTAGATACTTTAAAAATTTAATATAATTTGCATGCATATGAACTTATATTGTTTTAATTTTAAATTGTATTATCTAAAATTTTCAGAGTTGAGAGAATATTAAAGGAAGTTAGAGGAGGAGCTGCATAGAAACCACCTTTCCCTATTTATGGTGTATTTCCCAGTTGTTATCCATATAGCTGGGATTCCTGTCTGCCATTATAACCTAGGTGGTTTAATATTTTATGTTTGAGAAAAGACTAAAAAAAAGGTAAAAGACTGATAAGTTAACTATGAAGTAAAATATAAAATATTAAACTTGTGAGGAGAGAAAATAGTTACTATAGGACATAAGAATTTAAAATACAAAATGTCCAAGATTTAAAAAGACAAAAGTAGGTTTAGAAAGAGTAGCATAGAAATAAAGTGAATACGGGCCTCCCCAGTGGTGCAGTGGGTTGAGCGCAGCCCTGTGGAGCTTTCCTCAGCCTCTGCACTGTGGGTTTGAGTCCCAGCCGGCCAGGGAGATTCCCACATGGCGCAGTGGACCTCTCCTATTACACCTGCTGCTCTGTCAGCAGTGTATTTCGGTCATCTGCCTATTCTGTTCCCCACTCTATCTCTGGTGAATCCTCTTACCCTCCCACGCCTCTGGCCTGTACCCCAGCTCTTGTATAAAAATAAATAAATCTTAAAAAAAAAAAAGAAAGTAAATATATAAATACATAATAATATTGTTAGTGATAGATACAACAGAATTTAGAACTCAAATTAGAGTGGTAAAGTTACAACAAAGATAAGAAAATATAAAATGGGTAAAGAATTGCACAGGGTATAACTTAAAATCAAAATGGAGTATGTTAAATCAATACAGAAAAAGAAAGGTTGGAACCTTAAGTGGTTATCCCAGGCAACTTAAAAACAAGAAATGATCAAGAGTATATTGTGGTCTATTCTTTTAGAGACCTCCAGACTAAAGCAACTCCTGGAATTGGGAGTCCATAAATAGATGCCAGAGCAGAAAATATGGGCCAAAAGCATTAAGAATTCTTGACTTTAGCTTTTTGCCTTGGCTGCAGATTCTGAAAGCTAGGAGTTGAGTCCTTCACTAAACCTTCTTTGCAGGGGTCCACTAGCAACAGGTTTATCCTTTACCACTTCCAACTGGCCCTCAGTAACAATAGGACCCAGAGAATATGGCTCACAAAACAATGTCATTCCTGAAAAGCACCATCATGATATATTAGCGAGTTATAGAGAGTATTTGGTGTAAACTTGTAGTTGTAGAAATCGTGACATAGGGAGTATTTTTCTCTGTTAACAGTTTGTTTTGATTTACACTTGCAAACTTAATATTTAGTTGTAAATTTAACTTGTGGCACAAGGGAATGTGGCCTGCACAGAGCCAATGTTAATTTTTTTTTTTTAGCTACAACTCTTGTATTTTTCCAATGATTGCTACACATTACAATATGCTTTATCATATTATAGACTACTTTTTTTTTAAAAGTAATCATGAAATAGATTTTTTTTTTTTAAGATTTATTTATTTATTTATATAAGCACTGGGTACAGTCAGAAGCACGGGAGGGTGAGAGGACTCACCAGAGCCAGAGCGGGGAACAGAACAGGCAGACTGATGAAATACACTGCTGAGGGGAACAGCGGGCATGGCAAGAGAGGTCTGTCACGCCACGTGGGACCCTCTACGGCGGCCGGGGATCAAATCGGCACAGCAGAGGCTGCAGACAGCTTCACAGCCCAGCACTCAGTTGCTGCGCCACCAGGAGAGGCCCTGAAATAGCTTCTTTCAATTATATTTTATGCTCAACATCATGGGGTTATACCTCTGGGAATGACTAAATAAGTCAGTATTAAAATCCTTCCCTTCCCCACACCAACCCACTTTTTTTTTTGTCAAGTCACCTTTCTAAACCAGATTTTCTCTGTCGGGTGGCACTGTAAATATTCCAAACCTCCGTTGTTTTAATTCTGTTTAGGCTAATGTGACTTCCCACAGAACTACCTTGTTCACCAGAATAAGGTTGAGAGCACTGTAATATTTGGAGGCTGCATGTAAGAACATGAATGTAATAGTGTGTCTTCTCAATTTGGGGGAAACGCCTCACTTCTATTCAGGCTCATATGGACAGGGACACACAACCAGTTTGCCTCTTCAGATTCCACTGTCCTGCCTCCTTTAGTAAATTACCAGTTCATTTTATAACTAGGCTGGTAAATTTTTGAAAGAGGTTTGTTTTGTTTTGTTTTCACTATGGGGACTACACCTGAGGGGAGAATCCAGTTACGGTCCAAATATTAACAACAATGTAAGAAAATAAATAAATTAAAAAAAAAACAAAAAACTTTTCTTTATAGCTTATTTTGTTTTACTCAAACAGGATGAATTAAATCTTGCTGATTCTGAAGTGGATAACCAAAAACGAGGGAAGCGGCATTATGAAGAAAAACAAAAAGAACATTTGGACACTTTAAATAAAAAGAAACGAGAACTGGATATGAAAGAAAAAGAACTAGAGGTGAGCCATCATTTTCCCTTTCATGCTTTGTTTGCAACCTTAGTCATGATTATTAAATGCACTTTCCTTAATGTCATGTTTCCAAACATAGACAAGTTGTCTGATGAATATATATTTTGTAAAGAATAACAGCTGTTTTGGTGAATCAACAGAGGAAGAGGCGTAGGGACTCTCGAAGTGTGGAGACTTAAATAGACCGACGTGAGGAGGACTCCAGGCAGGGCTGCAGCAGTCCCTGTCATGCCTGCGTCATCTGGAAGAGGCTGCGCCTCACAGCCACGGCAAATGCCCGGCTTGGCAAGGGGGTAGCAGCCGCAGCCTTATGTCTGCAAAGCCTCCTTCCTCTGAGTAGCCGGTGCGTCGGCTAGGCTGGAATTCAGCGCCTATTTCTAGACATCCTTGTAGACAGCTGTTAAGCAGAAACCATATTTTTAGAAGAAAATAAGTTGACAGCAACATTAGTCTAACTAGAAGAGCTGGATTCCAACTTTACTTTCATAAATCATAGGAAAGTGATTTGCATTCTGTAATCCATTGCCTTACTTGCTTAAGATTTTAGATATGGAATGTTACGAATATGAAATAAGTGCTATGTATAAAAGAGCCTTTGTTTTCTGATATTTACAAATATGGGGGGGGGTCTGTTACTTTAATACAATTTGGTTTTCAGAGACCATTGTGAAATACACAGAAAGCTGTGTGTGACCTTAGCACCCTGAATGCCAAATGTAACTGCAACTTGAAATTTCTTTCAATAGCGAGTTTTGGAGATCTTACAAATAGTTGTACACAGTAATGTACTTTTCTCTTGAAGATTTATAGTGCCTCTGGACACTTGTCAATACAAAGCTTACAGAAATAATGGTGTTGAGTATAATTAAAATACATTTTTTAAGCATAATTAATTTCAAAATTTTACTTTGTACATTTTGGCAAAAGTAGTATAATGAATTTTTATATCAAAAAGAGTTTTAAAGCTATCAAACATATGTTATCTTAGGAGAAAATGTCACAAGCAAGACAAATCTGCCCAGAGCGGATAGAAGTAAAAAAATCTGCATCAATTCTAGATAAAGAAATTAATAGATTGAGACAAAAGATACAGGCAGAACATGCTAGTCATGGAGATCGAGAGGAAATAATGAGGTAAGTGGTTGGTGACTGTTTTATTTCCATATATATTATTAAGACATAAAAAATGTTTATCTTAAATTTGGATAAGATGGCTATAGCAGATAGGGAAAACTAAACTAGTCTTATATGTATGTTAATACTATACTTTTTTCCTTCTATTGCAAAATTCTTTATGGAGTACATGTTTACATAAATGTTTTTATAACCTATGAGATTCATATAAACATAAAAATAATCAGCTTCACACTTAAAGAAATGCAAATCACAGCAGTTCTTTATATATCAAGATGAAGAAAACGTATACTTCATGTTAGTGAGATTTTAATGAATTAGATATTTTTCTATTACTAGTAAAAATGGAAGTTCTAGTACAGTTAGACTACAGAATCAAAAGCAAGACTAACTCAGGTTAAATTCTAATTCTACTCTTTGTCATGTGACATTGGCAAATTACATAATCTTCTGAAACATCATTTTCTAATTACAAAATGGGCATAAAGTACTTTAGCTTTTGGGGTTGTTATGAAGATTAAATGAGATAGTCCATAGTAAATAGAATATATGGAGTACTTAGTGTATTAGATGCTATGTATCCTAAGGTATGTTACAGTATGTTATTATAGCATAAGAGGCCTTCAGAAAGGCCTCTTAATAACACTTTAAGAACACCCAGTTGAACACTTTATGTCAAACACCTTCAAAAAAATTCCATTTGGTTAAGTAATTTTGTTATGATTTAAAATGAAAAAAGCAATTGGTGCTTAGAAATGTGTATTATAGTGGTGTAACACTGAAAAGTTAGAAGTAGCATACAACTGCAGGATAATTAAATTACAGTAGAAAATTGTAGCTGTTATACTTTATGAAGAACTTTTCATGTTAAAAAAAATGGAAACGAGTAAGTGATCACAATTCTATTTTGGAAAACAATGGCAAGGGAAAAAAAAAGAAATCTTTCTTCAAAATAGAAAATACCTCATGTTTTAAAAATACAGTATAAAAGTGCACGCAGTGGAAAGCTTTACTTTCTCTCTGTATCCTCATCCTCTCCTTCACTTTTTCCCTTTTATCTTAATGTATTTATTAAATATACTTTTAGTGTTTGTACAAGTGCAAGTTCATGTTGAGTATATGTCATTTTTCATCCTTGCAGAGTCAAAAGGTAGCACATAATATAAACTGTTTTCTTTGACTTAGTGATACCTTTTAGATTTCTTTCTATCTCAATAAATAGGCTTTTTCTCATTTTTTAATAATATACTATATTTAACCATCTCTTATTGATGGATAATTGAATTTTTATGTAATCTTTGCTATTATAAAAAAGTGTTTATTTGCAAGGAATGAATTGGGAGAAATAGGTGGAAGGGATTAGTAAGGAAGGATACTTCTATGACTATATGTTTTGACTTTTGGGAACACTAAATTTTACATAAAATGAAATTAAATCAAGAAGGATGGGAGAAATCTAAACAAATAAAACATCTCTATTTCAAATCAGTAATTTCCACACTGGAGGAAGGAAAAAGCCTGATTCAGAGAATTTTAGAATACGGTAAATTTACGTATTACGGAAATAATTGTGAGTCCATCTTGAATGATTCTTGGTGGAAATTTGTTTTTTGTAGTAGTATGGTGTGACATTCTGCAGCTGTTGTGGGACTGAATAAATGTTAATGTTGCTAAGAACCAGGTCCCTACTATAAAAGAAGGAAGACAGAAGCATGGAATAATTAGGTGAAGAAAAATAGTGGGGTTAAACTGCAGTTGCAGTTAGGGATATCAGTATGAACTCATGTTTTTAGTTCTGTTGGTAGAAAAGTTCTAGAAGAAATGTCACCCTGGTAATAATGAGAACCCAAAATTTAACTCTGTTAAAATTAAAAACAGAGGGTGATCAGCCTTGAGGATTCCCTGGGTAGACAAAATCAGTTTATATACACAAATCTTCATTCAGCTTATTTCAAGGCTATCTTGGTGTAGGTGATTCTTATTTTAGCCTCTGGAGTGTGCAAGTAAAATTAAACTCTTTCTTAAGCATGATAAGCTGCCTTGTAACATCTTTTTTTGCTTGCTGTTTTGGTTTGCAGAAGTAAGCAGGTCCATATGTGTTTCTTTTCCCCTTAGTTCCACTATGGAATATTACTCCATATCAGTTAATTGAGGTCTCCCTCATTCCTGCTGCCTCATCATACTGCAGCAGGTTGGGGGACGGGAGATAGCAGTCAGCACACCATGCTTCGATACTTGTTCTGTTACTGCATTTGAGTAGTTTCCAGTATTTTAGTTAACATGTGATGTTGCAGTGAATTGCCTTATGTACGTGCATTTTGCTGTTGTTGGATAGCTGTCTTCACAGTGAATTTCCACAAGTGACTGTAATAGACTGAAGCATAGTACATAAGTGATTTTGTTGTTATATAATGCTTAATTCCCCTTCTTAGTGTTTCTACCATGTTTGCTTTTTCGTCAACATTCTATGAGAAAGAATGCTTCTTTCTACCTTGCCAACATTGTAATATAGCATGTAGAGTTAAGCTTTTTAATTATTGCCCATCTGATGGCTGGAAAGTGGTCTTTTAGTGTAATTTTAACTCACATTCCATCATTGTGAATGAAAATGAATATCCTTTCATATGTGTAAGGATCATTTTTTGTGCATTATGTGTTTTTGACCATTTTTCTGTAGGCTATTTAGTCTTCCTCATCCTCCACTCCCACCATTTTAAATTTTTTAAAAGATGTATTTTGGGGATATTAGTCATATGAAACATTCTTTTCTTTCGTTATTTGTCATTTTTGAATTTGTTCATACTCTTTTTGCGTTTTGGCCATGAAACAATCACTTTTATTAAGCTCAATATTTCAGTCTTTAATTATATCTGGATTTTAGGTCATAGTTTGCCGCGGACCAGCCCAGCGGTGGCGGGAGATTGAGACAATCTCAGGGTTGATTGAGAATGAGCTAAAGGTGGTCGAAGGACTTAGGGCGAGGGACAAAAAAGAATGACACACAGACACACTCAAGGGAGAGTGAAAATCTGAGTGCAATTTATTGAAGGCAATCTTTTTTTTTTATACATTTTCTCTATAATTACTTTCATTGTTTTTGCACAGAATCTGGTTAATCATTATCAAAGTATACGTAATCACCGTAACACATATCATTACATATTGCTTATTATCTTTCACAAAATCATATAAATCAAGAACATTTCATACTGTTATTTTCCCTGCTGGAGGTGTGTTCTAGATCTTCTGATTCATTATTATGATTATATATTTTCTATTATTAATATCTTTTCAGCTTATATTTATTTCTATATTTGATTATTCTGTTTACTACACGCATTATAGTCTGTTTCCATGGTTACATTCCTTTATTATGAGCTTAGTTACTGGCAACATATTTAAGTGGTGCCTCAATCATTCACAGGCCTGTTTGTTCCTGTTGCTTTACACGGATGATCAGGTGGGAACCAAAATCCCCTCGGGGACTGCGTCTGTCTTAGGTTGTCAGGACTCACTTCCTGATCTTACCCGTCATTGACTGTCCAGTCCAGCTCACAGGGGCAGAGAGCATTGTGCCAAGACAGCACAGCCACCCATTATTGATGCGAGATTGTGGCAATTGTAACATTGCTCTCAGGAGCCGCCACAATAGTTCAGAAGCCTTTCTCTGTACCTGGGTTAAGGAAGGCATTTACTTCTTTTTTTCCCCTGGTACATTTATGTGCTCATTTTTGTTTGATCTCATTTTTTATTTGGAGCTTATGGTATGAGGAGTGGATTTTATCTTTTTCAAAATGGCTATACACACGTTTCAAAACTTGTGTGTCCTCTTATTTCCTTAAGAATGGAAATAAGCATAATATATTTTGTGGTTTTCCATGTTCAGGCTGTTTACCTTTGGCTTTTGTATTTGAAGGGTAGCCGGATAGAAAATCATCTTTCTTGCTGACTCCTGTTTGTGGCGGTTCTCGTTCATCTCTTAAGTCCTTAACTTAGAGCGTCAGTGTGTACTTCTCCCTTGGTCTGCCTCAGACTTGTCAGTATGTAGATTTCAGTGTGAGTTCTCAAAGCTTTTCTTATATTTTTAAGTAATTTTCTGTTCTGTTGTTTAGTTTTCACTTTGGAGGTCTTCAGTTATAGAAAGTTAGCCTTTGTCTTCTCTAGTTACTTTGCCCATTTTATCTGTTTTCCTCCATTTTGTTTGCCTTTTTCATTGCTGATCTCTGTCTGTAAATGTTTGCTGTGGCTGGTGTCTGTTTGCCCCTCGTTATCTCATTTTGTCTTTGTGTGTGTGTGTGTGTGTGTGTGTATGTGTAATCCCTATGCCTTGGATTCTGTAGATTCTTACTTTGCCTCCCCTTGATTGTCCCCTTCTGTTTTTACCTGTCTGTCCTCTGAGTTACTATTTATCTGTTCTTTCAGTTCTGCTTTGTGCTGTTTCTTCTTGGTAGCCACTTGTCTCATGTTTTGTTTTAATTTGTGACATTCAGTTACAGTTTTTTTTTTTAAATTTATTTATTTATGTATACAAGAGCTGGGGTACAGGCCAGAGATGAGGGGGGTGAGAGGATTCACCAGAGACAAAGTGGGGAACAGAACAGGCAGACTGACTGAAATACACTGCTGAGGGGAGCAGCAGGCGAGTCAGGAGAGGTCTGCTCCTCTGTTGAGGGCTTCTCTCTGGCCGGCTGGGGATCGAACTCGTGCTGCAGAGGCTGCCGATTGCTTGATAGTGTGGTGCTTAACCCCTTGTGCCACCAGGGAGGTCCCTCAATTACAGTTTTTACCAACTTGGTGACTTTGGTCTAGTAAGTTTTCTTTGTAGGGGAGTCTTGCTGCTTTTTTCCACCTACTTTTTCCATAAATATCTCTATATGGATGTTATATGTGTGCCTTTTTTTTTTTTTAAAGATTTATTTATACAAGAACTGGAGTACAGGCCAGAGGCGCAGGAGGGTGAGAGGATTCACCAGAGACAGAGCAGGGAGCAGAACAGGCAGACGGACTGAAGACACTGCTGAGGGGAGCAGCGGGTGAGGCAGGAAAGGTCTGCTGTGCCATGTGGGTATCTCCCTGGCCGGCCGGGAAGCAAACCCACGATGCAGAGGCTACAGACAGTTTCACAGCACTGCGCTCAACCCGCTGCGCCACTGGGGAGGCCCATGTGTGTGCCTTTTGATACTCATTTTTTTAGTTAGATTTTTCTGGACTGGACGTTTGAAGGAGAATGGGGAAAGACAAAGTAGCTTTCATATTTTGTCAGGCTCTTGTTCTGCCCTGCTCCAGCAAGGAAGTGTTGCCCTCGCTAGGTGTGCTTTTGCACAGTAGCTGTGTCTTCTCTGCCTCTTTGGTCTTGTCTTGTTTAGACTAGGGTGGAGGGACCCTAAAGCTCACCTTGTGTTCCTGTGTTCCTGCACTGGTATCTGAAACATTTCTTACCTTCCTGTGTAATCCTATCACCTTTGAAAGATACATACATTTGCTAGCCTTCTTTAAGATCTGCCACCTCTGGGGCCCACCTGGGCACTTTCTTCAGGTTCTTTCAAGGGCTTGGACTTTGTCTTGGGCCAGCCACATACCTGTCCTTACGCAGGGCAGAACACGCTCATTCTGGCAGTGTATTTTCTTTGGAAAATTAAGAAATCTGCTGCTGAGGTTTCCCCTCAGTTTTCCTTGCTCTTCCCTGTTAAGTATATTTGGGGTTTTACTTGTATTTGTGTCCTTTTGAATGGCACTTATTTATTGAATATTTTGTTCATAAAATAGGCAGTACCAAGAAGCAAGAGAAACCTATCTTGATCTGGATAACAAAGTAAGGACTTTGAAAAGGTTTATTAAATTACTGGAAGAAATAATGACCCATAGATACAAGACATACCAACAGTTTAGAAGGTAAGTGCATAAAAAGGTTGCCACATATTGTAGCTTTTTGTTTTGTTTTCACATTATCCCTTATACATAATAAAATTAAATCAGTAGAACTTTACATGATCTGCTAAAAGAAGGAGCTGCCAGTTTGCCTTGTCAGCCAGAATTCCGGCTTTGAATGTACCTCATAGCCAGCTTATCCAAGACAAGGATGGTAGAGTTTGCATTGTGCCAGGCAGTTTCTAAGATATTCTAGGTACAAAATGATTAAGACATTGCCCTGACCCTTTTCCATTAGAAAGTTGAGGGGAGACAAACAGATGAATAGACTATTTATCCATTTAGCCTAACACTATATTAGAGTTTAATCCGCTCAAGGACAAAATTTGCGTCTAGTGCATTAAGGTAAGTAATGCCTGACATAGATTAGTGGAATGATTGGTAGGAACTGACTGTAATAGTGAGATATAATGTGTTACGTATGGGAAGGCATCTTTATTTCATGTTTATTATAGGATGTATGTTAATTATAGGAGTAAGTAAGTGGTTAGAAATATAAAAGCATAGTAAACAAATCACATAAGTTCCTACCTATTGCGTGGGCAACCAGTATGAACATTTGGGCATATTTTTCTCTTACATGCTGAATATACAGTTTTTTATATTCTTTTTAATGTGCCCATTTTCTTTATTTCAAGGTGTTTAACTTTACGATGCAAATTATATTTTGACAACTTACTGTCTCAGCGTGCCTATTGTGGAAAAATGAATTTTGACCACAAGAATGAAACTCTGACTATATCAGTAAGTATCTTAACTCTTGGAGTGGTAATTGTTGGGAGAATTAGCTGCTGCTTTTCTTTTGATGATACATTGATAAACTTTAACCTGTTGTCTTTGAAAAACAAAAGAAACTGCTGTTTAAGTTGTAACTTCCTCCCCCTCCCCTCACATAACCACATTATTTTCTTATAATGATATTAGGGATTTTTATTTTCAGTGGTAAGTATTTATATTCTCCACTGGTCGCTTTTTTAAAAATCACAGGATTTTAAATTACGTGAAACATTATTAAAAGTTCATATTCTCTTTTAATAGGAAGCTAAGATAAGATTTCTCAAAGGATGTTATACCTCATGTAATTGACTTTGTATTTCTTGTTTCTGAAGGTGTCCCTAAAAATCACACCTCTCTTAGATGACAAAGCTCTACCACATTCAACTTTGTAGACTTTTATGTTTGTAGATTGTTTCAGTCACATCCACTAAGGAGTATTGCATGTAACATAAAAAATGTATAGTCAGGACACCAAGGTCAACTACCTACTCTGAATTATTAGAGCACAGTTTTCAATAAGTGCTTACTACTCTCACTTGCCATAAATTTTATACTTCCATTTTAATACTGAGAATAAGAAATAATTGGCAGTACATATATGCAACATAATACTCACCTAAAATTTTTTAAGAATAATAAGAATGTCAGCTCATTTAAAATGGTCAGAACCTACCAAGTGAAAGCATTCACATGGTAAATAAGCACATTAAAAAGTGCTCAGTATAGTTAGTTATACCACAATAAGTTACTGTCAGACTGCTATTACTGTGACTAAAGAGAACAAGACTGATAATATCTTGGGTTGGCGAGGGTGTGGACTTAGAACTCTCATACCCTGTGGGAGTATAATTTAGTAGAACTAATTTGGGAACCTGTCTGGCAATGTCTGTGGAAACCATTTCATTCTTAAAACCCTTCAAAACTGGCAAAAAATCATCTATGATTATTAAAGTCAATTTAGTAGCTACCTTTTGAGGTAGTGACGGGAGGGAATCTCTGAGATACTAGGAATGTTCTAGGTTGTGATCTGAGTAATGGTTACCTAGGTGTGGGTGTTATGTATGTGCACATAGAAATCATTGAACTGAACACTGAGGCTTTGTGTTCTTCACTTTATATAAGCTCTATTCTAATAGACACGAGACAAGAAGAAAGCTTTGGGATGTTTGGGTTGTTTATGCCCAGCGCCAACATTGCAAGACAAATGAAGTCACATTTTCCGACACCATCATCCCTATGATTCAAGAGAATGTCATTGCTTTAAGAATCTTTAATTTTCTAGTGTGCCTTTTATAAATAAGGAAACTGAGGCTGAAGGCCTTCAAACTCTGCAGTTTATCTAGGACTTCATTCATTAGATTTATATAAACTGCAGTTTGGGAGCAAAATGCTGCTTGCTGTTCAGTTCTTTTATGTGGGATTTTTTGGTTTGGTTTGGTTTGGCTTTTTAATGCCTGTGTTTATGTTGCTTTTTCATTTGGATTTTCATAGAGGATTCATACTTACGATAAATATAAAATTTCAGTTTATGTTTAAATTTAGAATTTTTCATAAAACTGGTCACTGTTTTTTCATCTTATGTACATTTATTTATGTCTGGAATTCTATTGAAGTTAAATAGAATCCCTTTTAATGTTATTTCATACACTTTTTTTTTTTTTTTTTTTTTTTTCAGAAAACTATGAGTTTGTTGTTTCTTTAATTGCTTTTTGAGTAAAGAGGATTTTTTTTAAAAAAGAATTTTAAATCATTACTACTGTTAATTATTGGGCCAGTGTAAACATCTTTTAATTTGGTCTTGTGTCCTTTGACATTCAGAAATACTCTTAAAGCCCCTTAACCACTAGATGTCACTCCCAGTTCTGGTAACAAAAGATTATCTTGGCACTGATGCGTGTTTGATAAAAGAAATAAGGAAACCAGTCGTATTTGCAGCAGCACAAAAACAATAAAATAGTGAAGAATAAATTTAGTCAAAGAGATGAAAGATCTGTGCACTGTAAAATCTAAGGCATTTTGTTTGGTGAAAGAAATTGAAGACACAGATAAGTGGTAGGATAGCCCTATTTCATAGAGCACGAGACTCAGCATTGTTAAAGCTATCCATCAATTCACTGCAATCCCCCTCTAGATTCCAGTAGCATTGTTCACAGAAATAGAAAAAAAAAATCCTAAAACTCTTCTGAAACGTCTAAAACTCCTAACTAGCCAGAGCAATCTTGAAAAAGAACAAAGCTGGAGGAATCACACTTCCTGATTTCAAACTATATTACAAAGCTGTAGTAATCAAAACAGTGTAGTACTGTTAGAAAAACAGACATATAGATTGATGGAACAGAATTGACAGTCCAGAAATAAGCTCATGTATGTATGGTCAACTAATGTTTGACAGAGGAACCAAGAATAAACAATGGGGAAAGGACAGTCTCTTCAGTAAATGACATTAGTAATGACATTCAGTAAATGACACGTGCAAAAGATTAAAACTGCACCCCTATGTTATACCACTCACAGTAATCAGCTCGAAATGGATTACAGACTTAGAAGACTTGAAAACCATAAAACTCCTAGAAGAAAACATAGAGAAGACGCTCCTTGACATTGGTCTTGGTCATGATTTTTCATATTAGACACCAAAAGCATAAGCAGCAAAAGCAAATATAAACAAATGGAACTACATCAAACTTCTACACAGCAGAAGAAACTGTCAACAAAATGAAAAGGCTGCCTATGTAACAGAAAATATTTGTAGACCATACATCTAGTGAGTCAATAACTAAACTATATGAAAAATTCATACAAATCAACAGCAAAAAAACTGATCTTTTAAAATTGGTAAGGGGCCTGAATAGAATATTTTTCTAAGAACACATATTAATGGCATAGGAAAAGGCATTCAGTATCATTAATAATCAGGGAAATGCAAATCAGAACCACAGGGGGAGATACCATCTGTTAAAATGGCTGTTACCAAAATGAGGAGAGACATCCTGGTGCAGGTGATGTGGGAACTACTTAAGTATCCATTGACAGACTGCTGGATAGCTATCTGAGATAGGATCTCTAATAGAACATTATTTACCATAAAAAGGGGGGGAATCTTGGAATTTGCAACAACATGGGAGAACCTTGATAACATTGTAAGTGAAATAAGTCAGGGAAAGGCAAATACTCCTGTCCTCTCACTTGTATGTGGGATCTTAAAAAGCTGAAATCAGGGATGGGAAAACGGGTGAAGGTGGCCAAAGGGTGCAAGCTGTATGAAGTGAGTGAGTTTCCCCGTGTTTCCTGTTAGGAGTTACACAGGTTTAGGTCTTCTACACGGACTGTAATCCACTTCAAGTTGATTTTTTGTGAGTGGTGGAAGTTAAGGGCACAGTTTTGCTCTTGCATGTAGCTGTCTAGGTTCCCCAGTGCCGTTTAAGAGAGTGCACTTTCCCCATTGTCTGTTCATGGCTTCTTTGTCAAATATTAGTTGAGTGTATGGGAGAGTTTATCTCCAGGTTCTCAGTTCTGTTCCGTGAGTCTTATACGGTGTTATAGATCAGTTTTACTTCAGTAAAGCCAGGGGTGGGGGGGAATCTTTGCCGTTCTAGAAAGACTAGTTTATTTATTTTGACCATTAACATTTGCCTGGCATTAGCACTTTTAATATTAAGCCTTGGAATTTTGGTGTGTTAAATCCAGTTATGGTATCACCTTGATTCTCACAAAAACAAGACCACCGTTATACAGCTCACTCTTATACTGTACAGTATTTTAAATGGCGGATGGCATTTCCACATGACTCAGTGATTTTATTTATTTGTTTTTAAACTATAAACTCATTCTTGTAACCTTTTTGGTAAGAATTGACTCAGACTTTCCTATGCTTTTTTGTTAACGCATTCAAGGTCCAGCCTGGAGAGGGAAACAAAGCCGCCTTCAATGACATGAGGGCCCTCTCTGGAGGCGAGCGTTCCTTCTCCACGGTCTGCTTCATTCTCTCTCTCTGGTCGATTGCTGAATCTCCCTTCAGATGCCTGGATGAGTTTGATGTCTACATGGTAGTGTTAAATTTTAAGTTATCTAATTTTGTTGTTCAAAGTATGTTTTGATAAGACGTCAGTTTTCCTTTAGTTTTGCCTATAACTGAGAAGATCCTGCCCTGACACCTCACTTAGTTTGTGGTAAGTGTGGGAAAGCACTAAGTGCAGCCTCTCCCTTGCCACCACACTGCTGGCAGCCTGACCTGGATTTCAGCTCGCTCTCCCATCCCTGGTACCCCTGCTCGCCATCAGCGCCTCTCTGGCCTCTTGCCTGGCTTGCTTCCGTTTCCTGTTTTAACACACAGTTGTCACCGGGTCACGAGCCTTGCAGTGACTGTCTACTCGCTGTTCATTCTCTCCCTTCCTTCACAACCACACTTTTCAAAAGAGCAGTATATAGAGCAGCAGGGAGCAAGAACATTTAACGTTAAAATAAAACCAACATTGAGCCCTGCTGTGCTGCCAGGTGCCCATTGACTTTGGGCAGTGTGCGTACCCTTTTTTGGGCCTCAGTTTCTTCAGCTGTCAGTAAGGTCATTCGTCTTTCCTGCCTCTCAGGATTGCAGTGAACTTCTGTGATGTCTCACAGCTAGTAAGTCCTTGCAGCTGAGCTACAAGTCATTCTCTTCTGTGTGTCTCATTCTCTGTTTAGTCCACCGTAACCTGAGTTAACCCTGCACTACTTCAGCAAAACTGCTTTAGCAAAGATCATAAATGAACTTTGAATCTTCCTTTAATTCTCAAAGTATTTGACACCACAGACCGTCTTCGAAAATGTGTCTTCTTGCCAGTGTCCATACTCCACTCCCTGGTTCTGCTCTGTCCTCTTGGTCTCAGTCTGACAAGCTGCCTCCCTTAATTCCCTTGTTCTTCAATACTTGGGGTCTTCTTTGTTAGTTTTCTCTTGTTAATTTTCCTGGTTACCTACCCACTCTCAACCCCAACACACCTACATTTGGATACCAACAAATCCTCAGGTACTTTACTTGGATACCAAGTACCTCACTCAGCCTGACAGCTCCTGCCCTCTGCACGCATACACCCAGCTACCTAGTAGATGACGCACATCGCAGACTCAGTGTGCCTCTATTAACGTCTCCTCCTTTCTTTTCCAGAATTCCCTACTTTGATTAATGGCACATCCACTCACCTAACTTTGAACATTTTGATTTATCTTTGATTTTTTTCACTGGCACATTAGATTACCTTTCAGATACGCCCGATGGAAGAATTTCTATATGAGCCATTGAGCAGTAGCAGCAGGCGCTGGGTCCCCTGTCTGCCCCAGAGCTTCTGTTCTAAACCATTTCCTCCTGCCACACGTAGCTTCTACTAGACCATTAAAAATGTGTGCATTTGTTTGTCTGTTTTCAATTTTCAGTTTGTTTTTTTTGGGGGGGGGTGGAATATTTAAAATTTTTCCTTTTCTGTAATTTAACTCAAAATACAGGCACATTGTTCAATTCATTTGACATAAATACATACTTTGTTCATTTTAGACCTAAGCATTCTTTTCCTATATACTCATGTGCTATTTAGTTTATTTTAAAGAATGAATCAAGAAAATGGTCCATAAATTCAAATTCAGATTGTATAAATTGTAGGTGATGATGGAGACAGAGTTTTTGTGAAACATCTTAACCATTGAGAGGAAATTTTGAGAGATTTAATAAGTTAGAAACTGTTCACTTTTGTTAATGCTGACCTTGGTGGTGAACTTTATAACTTAGGTTCATTCCGTATCAGTTAGGTCTTTTGAATATTTTCTGATTGTTTTAACTGTGAAATATACTTGAGGAAGGCAGCTGCACAGACATACACTTTGCCTATGGACATGACCTGGAAGTTAGATATTCTTTTTCCCTCTGAGAATTTGGCGCCATAGGTAAGGATCAACTTACATAAAAATCTAGATGTGTGTGTCAGCCAGCAGATGTGGCTATTACAGGAACATGGCTGAAACAGCCGTGATCCTGACCTTTGCCTTTGTTCCCAGGACATGGTTAACCGGAGAATAGCGATGGACATGATACTCAAGATGGCAGATTCCCAGCGCTTTAGACAATTTATCTTGCTTACCCCTCAGAGCATGAGGTAACTTTAAAAAGCTCTTTTGTGAATATAAATACTAAGTATGTAAGTGGGGGGGAAACACATTTCCTAATCTTAATGTTTTTAATGCAAAGGCATAAAAATTATCTCCTCTGCCAGTTCAAGAGATTTTAGATGATTTCCTTTTTTGTTGTTGCAATTTCATTCTCTCCCTTTTAGAACACAAGCAAGTTACTTTGAATGTGATTATTGACTTGGTGCTGTTTGTATTTTGAATCTGTTCCTTCCTGATTTCATAGCCAATTAATATAAAATAATTTTTGTAATTCTGTTTAGACCACAAGAAGCAAGCCATGATTTCCCTCATCTTGGTTTTTTTCTTGGTGCTGTGCAAGTACCAGCCTTTCTGAACAAAGAGCTCGCTGAGCCAGCTGTCTCTGGCTGCTGAGGAGGAGTCGGCACCCGGTTACGTCCAGTGATGCCCACCTCCGAGGTGGTTGCTTGGTCCTGTGGAGATTTAAATTTGTAATTAGGAGTATTGAGGGACTGTCTTTCTGACTGAAACAACCAGAGTGAGAAATAGTTAATACATAAATCTCCTTCATTTTCTTTTTCCTCCAAACTGAAAGCCCATAGCAGTTACCAAGAAGTTAAAGAATGAAAAAAAATTTCCTTAATGCAAATGACATTTCTTCTCCAACTCCAGAGACACACATATCCCTGTAGCAGGTGACAGCCATTACATATTTTCTTGAGGAAGCATTAGCATTTTTTTAAATGTGAAACAATTTTTCTTGGAAATTTGAGTAATTAATTTTGCTTCCTCTAGCTCGCTTCCATCAAGTAAACTGATTAGAATTCTTCGAATGTCTGATCCTGAAAGGGGACAAACCACATTGCCTTTCCGGCCTGTGACTCAAGAGGAAGAAGACAACCGGAGCTGATTTTTAACAACATGCCATGTCCTCCTGTTGAAAGATTTGTAAAGGGAAAATATTCAGGACTATTTCTTGAAATAAAATGAAGCTGAAGATATTCTAAAATAAAAAAACTCATTTATATATCTTACCCTAGTATACAATATGTAAATAAGCCTAGAAAACCAACTACAACCAGCAATTTAAAGTTACTATTACTTTACTTTGAGAAAATCAGTTTCATAGTACTGGTTTTAAATCTTTTTAAGTTTGTTTTTTTTTTAACCATCTACTTTTATAGATTGTTTTTCAGAAGTAAAATTTTGTACATATGCACATGTACATACTGTTTAGTTTGGGTTCATTTCTATAGTGTTTTGTAAGAATTAAAATAAAAGTCTGAGCTCCTGATTCTATTCAGTTTTGCTTCCCAGAACTGTGTTCTCGTTGCAGGGACAGGGCACAGCGGACATCTGATCTGGTTTGTGCTTATTGATCGTGACGGGCCTACACAGGCTGAAAGCTCTTTGAACAGAATCCCCGCACAGGTAGTTTTTAACCCCAGAGATCCAACTGTAGATTTGGACTGTACTTTTAATTATTTCATCAATATGAGATGCTGTCTCTTTATAAGACTCTCCACAGAGTACATCAGCACTGCCCGCTCCGACGCAGCGCCTTCCCCCAGTCTGCTCACTGTTGTCCCCCAGCTCAGTGTCCCAACCATGTCAGACCTAGATTGTGACACAGGGCTGTGTGCCCTGCTCAGCAGCGGACTTGCCAGGTTTACGATCCCTCTGGTAGCATGCCAGGGTTCTCAAGCTCAGGCTCGGCTGAGAGAGGGCACAAGCCGGGGACCGTGCAGGCCAGGCTGAAGAGTCGGGCTGGGAAATAGGAGGACAAAGTTGGCTTTCCCTGGAGCAGGAAAGAAGTAGCCAAAGGCCGAGCTGTTCATTGTGAGCTGACATCAGTTATAAGGCGCAGCCTGGTTTTAGAGGCATTAAAAAGTGTGCTTTTCAGAATGGTAAAATACAGTATATTAAGAAAAGGTATTTATGAGCTTTTTTAAAGAAAGCATGACTAGGGATCCTGCCTTTCTGCTCTGCATTGATACTAAAAGACACAATGGATATCCATCAAGGAGCATCCCTGTAGTGTTAGCAATAAATAGGAGTGAAATTTGAAAAGAAGAATCCTTAAAAAGGCAGTTTGAAAGCAGTGTCACTTGAGAAAATCTGGATTTTGGTTTTGGTGGGGAGAGATAGTGTTGAGATTATTTGGCAAAGGCTAAGTCCAAAAACTTAACTTTTCCAATCTAAGAATTTTTAGAAAGATGAAATATGCTGAATTTTTTCAGCGTATTTTTTCCTCATCAAAGTAATTTTTTTAATTACATTTGTAATTCATTTGTTTCAAAACTATTTTAACATCATATGCTTTTTCAGATTAAAAAAGCAAAAAAAAATACACCAAATGCATACACTTACATTAATTAAACTTCAGTGTCTGAGTTTTTGTGATGATTTCTAAATGTTGTGGTTCTTTATACAAATGAGAAAAAAATATTCCTCAGGTATCCACGCACCACTGTCATGTCACTTTGGCCTCACAAAGTTTGGTTGTGATTCTCATAAGTGAAAATATCTACAACTAATATTCTAATTAATAGTCATATTAATTAGAATAAAATAATAAAAAGTTGTTCCTTTAAAATATGTGGCTTTGCAAAATAAACTTTAAGTTTACATGTATGAAGGTCATGCTTTTGTGAGTTGGGGAGGGTAGTGGTAACTCAGGGCGCCTCATCAGACAGGTGACTCTTGCACCCACCGCTGACCATCAGTGCAGCGAGGGCGGAGCAGTGCGGACCCCGGAAACTCGGATGAAAAGCTTCCTTGGAATCTTCAATTCGGCCTTTTCAGGTCTATGGGGTAGGTGTGTTTCAACTGCACCCCTCTTTTTTGTCTTTCTCAAAATGACAAATGTGTAAATAGTTACTCAAGCCAATGATAACAGTAACGATTCAGGCATTGCCTTCTTAAATATCCTCCAAGTTTTCACTTCGTCCCAACCCGTAGTGCTTGATCTGTCTGTCCTCAGATGGCTGGACTGCATACGCAGAGACGTGCTTCAACTCTGAGTAAGAAATTATTGGTTGGGACTCGAGAACCGTCAGAAATGTTGGCTGCAATAATAAAACCATGGGATCCAGAGTGTCTGTTGAAAAGCTTTCTGGAGTAGAATAGATGTGGTACAACTCAGTACAAATGATTATGTCCTGAGTCAGTTTTCTACTGGATTTAGGACCTGTTGCTGCATCTGCATCACTTTGACCAACTGAGATTTCTAGAATTGGTTTGAAAGCTACAGCTCTACACAAACAAGTATGGATATATCTGGACTTGAACTAAATTCCTGTGAACTTGAAGGCATGTCAAGATGATTATTTAATAGGAACAGGTTTTATTTAAATAGTGGCAAAGTAATGTGGGCATAAACTGAGTCAACAAATAAAATTTCTTATATATAATATTGATACCTAGCCTATAAATTTCCACTTGGGCATCTGGATAGAATTCAAAGTGGCCTGAGAATGCTAATAAGCAAGCTCAAGAGCACTCGTGCTGCCTAATTTGTCTCCTGTTTGAGGATGTAGAGATTAATTCACTCAAAAATGGAGTTCTTGCCACATGCCCAAAGACTGTTTTAAGTGCTAGGAACACCACTGTGGTGAGTAAATCTACACTCAGAGTTTTAAAACCTAATTAGTGTTAGGATTTTAGATAATGGTAGCTGCTATGAATAGGAAAGCAGGGTCAAGAGTTGGGGGTGCTATTTCTGGGGAACGTTAAGGGAACACTGCAGAAGGTAACATTTAAGTGAGAGAAAGAACTAGCGGAAGATAAAGGGCAGCAGTTCTGGGGGAGGAAGTAGGTGCGAAGGCCTTGGAGTGGGAGTGGGCTTGAGGTCCGGAGTCAGGAGGGTGTGTGTAGTGCTTAGTGAGGAAAGGGGCTCGTAGAGATGAGACGGGAGGTTTTTGGACCTGGTGTGATAGAAACATCCAGTGCCCGGGCTGATGCATGAGCAGTCTTGGGCTGTAAGTGTTGCGGGCCAGCAATTTGGAGGCTCTCTTCAGTGGTCCATATCAGGTCATGATGACCAGACTCAAGTGGAGAGGGAAGCCTTCAGAGTTGGATAGCAGCAGGGGGGCTCCTGGAGTTGAGAGGAGTTAAGAATCATGGCTCTAGGGTCCCAAACACGGAGAATGCTGGCGCCTTCATGGAGGAGGCCTTGTGGCGGTGAAGAGCAACGAGGGCTGGTTGGAGAAGGAGAGAAACTTATCGAGTGTGGGAACTTTAAGATAACTTCATTAAATTGTTTTTTTTTTTAAGTGATGTTCAGCTTTTTAAAGATTCGTTTATGCATACATGAGCTGGGGTGCAGGCCAGAGGTGCAGGGGGTGAGAGGACTCACCAGAGACAGTGGGGAGCAGAGCAGCAGATCTACTGAAATCCACTGCTGAGGGGAGCAGCGGGAAGACGGGAGAGGTCTGCTGCACCGTGTGGGTCAGCTCCCTGGCCAGCCTGGGATCAAACTCATGCTGCAGTGGCTGGCGATAGCTTGATAGCGCTGTGTCTTTAACCCCTGTGCCACCAGGGAGGCCTCCTAAATTGATGTTGATGGGTAACTTTGGTAAATGTAAGAATTTGGAAAACAACTTGCGCGTCAAGATTATTTCATCTGCAAAATGCTGGGAAAAACCCAAATTGCGTGCCTGCCATATCTGGGAAGACTAATTGCTTGCAAGAGAAGAAGGAAGGGAACACTGTCATTTACATTTCCTTGGCAGCTAACAGTCAGCTCCTCACCACACCCCACCCGCCCTCTGCTGTGAGACCGAGGACGGCGCCTCTGCCTTGACGGGCTTCCAGCTGCCTGGGAAACAAGCTCTTGAGGAAGGAAGTTCCCGTTTTTCATCTAGAGTCTGATCTTGAATGAGTGAATTGCAAGGAAAATGGAGTCTGGAGCAACATGGTTCCCTTTTAAAAGAAGGTTTAGAGTGATTCGAGAAATGAAAGGAAATGGAAACATAGGACTTCAAAATGCATGGAGTCCAAGGTAGGAAAGATGGCAGACATTTGGGGGCCTTTTCTTTTCAGAACAGGGGGAATTAAACAGCCAATTAACGCAGTAATTAAAACGGCAGCAGAGTGTGTTCAGTTAGAGCAAACAGGACCTGGCCTACTTGAATGGCCTGAGGAAGTCTGCTTGGTCCTTCCTCGGGAACCACTAACTGGTTGCAATACTGAGTTCCAGTGCGTGAGGTCTGGGTGTATTTAATTGGGGCTTGAGTGCAGAGGGTGGCATTAAACTCACCTACTTTCATGGCTGGTCTGTGCAACGCCTGCTTCCCTTTATCCATTAGTCATTTCCTGTGGCAGATTGTATCCTCGAAGGATGGCCACAATAGTTCCCTTCTATGTCCTTCCAGAACCTGGCTTGGCAGATTAATTCCCTTCTTAACCTGGGCGGATTTGTACCTCACAATTAATAGGATACAGCAAAAATGACAATGTGACTTCCAAGGCTGTGAGAAAAGGCAATAAAAGAACGACGTATCTGGAACAGACTGGAGCACTGTGCCCCCATGGAGGCCAGCCTGACCTCTCTAGGCAGCAGATAGCAGGGAAAGCCTCAGCCAGGCTGCGCGGTTGACTACCAGGACAGAGCAAAATGCCAACTTCTGGCAGGCCTGTGCTGGCAGAGCGTTGAGCCACCATGGACATAGTGTGACGCTCTAGGGCCTCTGTGCTGAGGAAGCACCGAGTGCTCCTGTGGAGAAGCCCTGAAGCTACCAGGAGGGACGCCCAGTCGGTGCCCAGCAGCTCCAAGCCCTGTTTTAGCTCCATGTGGCTACACTACACGAGACCGCAAGTCCAGATCGCCCTGGTGAGTCGCTCTCGAATTCCTGACCCTCAGAAGCCATGAGAAGTAGTAACACAAGTGTTTCTTTTTCTAAGCCAGTTTGGGGCATGAGTTGTTGAGGGGCAATAATAGTTGTATGTGACTCTGGTGTTCTTTCGTGAGAATATATTTTTCATTTACAGATGTTGCAAGGGCAGTGGATTTTATTTTTTCTCCGTATTCCATATTTTTAAAATATGTCCAGGTTACTGTGCGTGCATCATCCTGTTGCCTCCAGGTGGTGCATGGTGTGCTATCGGCTGTGTCCAGCTACTCACCAGTCCTTCTAGTAACGGACCCCTACGTCACCTCTGATGCCCATACCACAAACAGCTGTCGTGGGCATCTCGGGACACGTCCCCTTTTGACATTCCATGACAGCTTCTTGGGGACCGCTGGGCCAGAGGGCTTGTTCTAACCAGGACTACTGGACTCCCTCCAGGAGC